GAATGGCTTCGGTGGGAGGGAAGGAGCTGTCTTTTTTCTTTCTTTCCTTTTTTTTCCCCCTACCCCCTCAAGTTGGTGCAGTTCTACAGTTTGAGGCTAAGTGTGGTGGCTGGCTGAGGTGGCAGTGATTGAACGCGCCACATGATTATATCAGCTACGGTTGAATTACACGGTTTTCAGAACCGTAAAAGTGGGTCTTTCTTGTCGGAAGAGCCAGGTCAAGCCACACATCGCTTTTTGCTCTGACCAGGTGATCACTCACTGCCACTACCACGCGCAGCTGCCTTCCTTGAAGAGGCAGGTGGGGAACTGCCGAGACCACACATATCCTTGCGCCTGCCTTCCCACTTCCACAGCCAGGCCTAGCAATGTTGTCAGCAAGTTGCTGCTGACAGCAACTTTTCGTCACTTGGAGTTGGGATTGACAATCACGATGACCGGTCTTTTGGAGGTGCTTTTTTTTTTCTTCTTTTTGGTGTTTTTGCCGTTTCCCCTTTCAAATTTTTTTTTTTTGTTCATTCTCGGGTCCTCCCTCTCCTGGCCTTGAGGAGGTTGTTGATTGGCTTCCCACCACAACAATCAACGCGCGTCAATGTTAGCAAGAGACATGCATGATTACCAGCTTTCGTTGGCTGTCTGCCGCCGTGTTCTCCCAGCGTCCGCTAGCTTCACGCCCAAGGTGCGTCACGCGCTGTGACGGCAGGCCTCCTCCATGACCCGAGCGTGTCAAGCGGATCTCGTCCCTGACGGTGGCCCACTGCCCTTTTCTACCTACCCAGCCTGGCTTCTGGATGCCCTGCAGCAGCAAGCACATGGTTCGTCCAACGCCACATCTCGACACCCCCCCAGTGGCTGGACCAGTGTGGCCGCGTGCGGTGCATCACGCAAGAGTAGGTGACGAGAGCGCGTCTGCTCCTACCACTGTGCCTCGCGTCTTTCTGTGAAGGCGTGTTTCTTTTTCTCCCTCTTCCCTCCTCCCTCTTCCCCCGTGCACCTCGTGAGAACTCGCTGACTTGGATAAAGCATCCATCCCACAACAACCGGCGCTGCTCGCCAAATGATGATTCGCATCAATGCTGCGTACCACAGTAGCTAGCGCTTCCACAAGCAGCCCAGAAGAACAGACTTCGACGGTGCTGCGTATCGTACGTATGTCAACGCCATGATCAATTCCGCACCTGTGTCACCTCCACTTACTGACTGACTGGCTGTCTCAAGGCATGCTGTTGCCCACTTCGATGCAATATCCGTTTTAGAAAGCCTCCAACTTCTTCTCAACTACTTTTCCGGTCCGCAACCACTGCGTCGATGTCGACAAACCGGCCCGTAAGTCCAAACGACACGACCCCATTCACCTTCCATGCCCATTCTGCATACGGAGTACCTTCGTTCCCCAGCTCTGGTTCTCCAACTCGAACCCAACCTAAACTCGTCAATCTTCCACCCTTAATTTGTCCTCGGCTGACTTTGACCACAAACAGCTAACCTGCTTTTGCCTATGCCCTGTCCACGTCGTCTGTCTGCGCCTAGCCTACCGAATCCTGTTGCTTGCCTCGAGTCGTCTTCATACCCGTCGCGCCTGCGCCAGAATTCTTTGCATGTCGTCGCTCTGGGGCCATGTCGTGCAAACCCTCGACTGGCATTGCCTATGCTCTAGATTCCGACCTCGGCCACCGCAGGAGTGCCCTTCGATCGCGACATTGCCTAATTCGGACACACCATTGAACTGGTTACTGCAGTACAAGATGCAATCGTGCCTTGGTATCGGTCACCAGATGATAACACCCTTCCACCCCGTTCTAAAGCAACAGCCCACTACCTCTCAAGTGGTCTTACGGCAATCGGGACCTTTCAGACTAGAACAGTCAATGTCATCCAGCCTCCTCACCGGCTCGCCGCAGTACTGACCGAGATCTCTTGCAGCAGGCAATGCCCCGATACTTCCAAGGTGACCATTCTTATTATTGATCGCCACCCTAATCCCCGTTCACTCACGGCCCGGGGCCACTTAACCCTTCCACCGAATCACTATACATACCATTCAACCCCGTTCTCTTGGCGCACAGCCAGACCTCTTTGATTCTCAGACTCGCCACTCCGTAACCCCTCTCCCTTTCTCTTCTCCCTATTATTCCATTGTGTCATCCATTCTCTTCGTCCCTCCTTTCGACATGATTCCTGCAGTGCGAGCTGATGGTATCACACCCACAGCCCTCGCGTTCTCACGCAAATCCTCACCATGCCTCATGTTATTAATATTAAGGCAGCATCATAGACCGACCCACGTTGTACTGTGTCAACCTCCCTGTCAAACCTCGGTTCTGCAGCCCACTGAGCATTACTCCTATGGCCTTGCACTGCCCCTTACTGGCAATTGCTATTGTGGCTTCTGCTACATTGTGACTTGTTAATTTGATTGCCTCTGCTTCTCTATTCCGACAGGCTCTAAAGCCTTCACCTTGCTCGAAGAGAAGATCCTACACGTTTGAGTCCCTCCGTCTCATCCAAGTTCACAGACATTCTTCAGTCTAGCATGTAACCTCTCCATCAAACAACACCGCCGTATCAAACCTGAGACTCCTAATACTCCTGCATCCTACAGCCTTGTTATCCTAACTACTTCTATCTCATAGCACCTGGCTGAAAGTATCGCATGGAGTATTAAGCCCCTCCCCCCTCCGATCCGGCCCCCTAAGTGACGCCAAATAGCTCTCAACAGACCTCGCGCAACGTTCCCTCCCTCCTCCCAACCGGCGTGGCACAGCTCTTAACAAACAAGTCGCGGCGTTTCCCTCGACCCCACCAACCCAATGCCTCTCAAGAAGGCCACGCCCAAGGGGAAGGGGAAGGGCAAGGGCAAGGCTGCTGCCACGCCCGCCCCCACACCCGCCCCCGCCTCCAGCCCTGCGGCGCCCGAAAACATCGACAACAAGGCAAGCGATGCCAAAGAGCCGAACGTCGTCCTTAGCGCGTCAAGCGAGAAACCCGCCCACACGAAAAAGGTGAAGAAGATCAAAGAATCTTCGCCCAAGGGAAAATGGTATGGCTTCCTGGACTTATACTTCACCCTGAGCCCAGATTGGTCGAGCGGCGCGTAGAACGCATTCAAGGGCGCCAAGTACAACTTCCGCCACCTCGACATCACTGTCGACAAGCCGTGGATTGCTAATTGTTGCCCTCAGTAGCATAACGACGATTGGGCCGCGGAGTTTCGCGAGGACAGTGCCCCAAGCGAGGTCGACCTCCGAACAGCGAAGTTTCCTCAACATTCCTTGAATATCTATCCGATTATGCTAATACGAGATCACTTAGAAAAGTGATGGCGCCGTATATGTTGTTTAGAACATCCAGCACGCCATTAATGACGGCTAGATGAGCCGTATCTTGATGGAAAGTGCTACAGGACCTATATTAGCCCTAGAGGGAACGTCCAGCCACTAGAACCGTATTTCTAGCTTTATTAGCTATAATCATGCGCTAGACCGTAAAGATGATACTACCTACTAGAACCACTATTAACTCCACAAAACCAACAAACCCCCGCCAAGGATTCTGTACGGCTTCAGTGGCGATGTCTCGCAATGATGTGCAGAGCGAAGTAGGATTGGTAATGGAGCAAGGAAGCTCCAGTGGAAGTAAAGCTGGACAGACGCCTTGAACATGTTGGCACGTGTGTGTACTGATGACAGTAGATAGGTAATAATGTAGAAGAATCCACCTCATTCCTGAGCTTGGCTCGATCAATAGCTATAGGGTTGTCTGACTGTCGAATTGAGTAGCTACAGGGCCGGCTTGACTGAGTTACGACGTTTTTAGGCAGATCCTCTTGAGGGCTTCCTGGCACACGAGGCGGACGGACCCGACTCCGATATAGAGGACGAGAATGAATTCCCAAGGTGATGGATATTCTTCGTTTTTCCCCCCTTTCCAATTACTGCAACTACAGCACCTCATGCTCATAACCATAACGCCTATTGCTTCTGAACGAGCTCTGCACGTTGCGCCACTACCACTCCCTCGTCGCCGGCTAATACTCCCGATGGCGTTAAGCTTGACGCCGTTCCAGCAGCCAGCTTCCCACCCGATGGACCGTCTAAGGGTTTGGTTTCCGATCCCGTATCGCCGCTGTCATCGCCCTTTACTCTCCCTATCTGACCCAGACTACGACCTCGACGACCCAGAGACGTATGTGACAGTGCACGTGAGGGCCATGGCTCTTTGGTGGGACCATATGAACCCACTGACACGACCGTCATTCACTGTCGACGATCCGTGTACCTGGTATGAAGGGGCAGAGAGACACAGGTAATCATGTGGGGGAAATGGGATCTGCTGCTGCTGGCTACGAGATGGCGGGGGGTGTCTGGTTTAGAACCGACAGCAGCCAGGCTACCTATCCATGCATCCATGGCCTGATCTTGTGGTCTGCCCCTCGTCAAGACCGTCCTAACATATTTTGGCATACCAGTTAACAGAGACAAGACCGAGACCACAGAAGTGTTGGAAATAGAAAAGCCATCAGCCTGGAGGATAGCCTATCCACACGAAGTTGTCCTGGCCCAAAGTCGAGCTTGATAAACAGATGCAAATCGCCCACGTCGAATACATGGAGGCATCATTGCAACAAAGCATAGGTGTTGGCGGGCAGGGGACAGACAAGGACGGAAGCAAGTAACAGCTGGCGGTCGACGCCATTAGTCAGTGAGATGCGGCGGTGACGGATACTCAACAAAGACCAACACAGATTTTCCACAGGGGGACCAAATTGCCTGGCTGACTGGCTGGCTGGGCGACATGATGTCGCATATGCTTGATTCCTCATCCACTTGTTACCGCGAACAGATCACCAGTACTCTCTGACTATCTCGGGAACGTCTTGTTGAATGGCATCCTGTGGCGCCCAGGCTTGCCTTGCAAGCCGGATAACACTGTTAATACATCCAGAACTAGGCAGGCTTGTGGCTAACAGCCTTGCGGTGTTGCAGGACTCAAAAGACTTCCTAGGTGGTAGCCAGGTTGTTGGGGTCGTAATGGAGGGCTCCATCACTGCCACCTGGTAAACAGGCCCAGTAGTCCAGCACAGCGCCAAGGGCATAATGGGGAAGCTCTTTCTCGTTCTTCCAGGTGGTAGCGCTTGGATTGATGGGGGTGACTGCGAAGAAGAAATTGAAGTCAGTAGAACAGTCTGGTCTAGATCCAGTAGAAATGCAGTAAGAGGAGGACAGGAGGGCAGTTGAATGGAGGAGGAAGTAAACAAACAAAGGGGGACTCTTGGTCGCCCATGTGTGAGTGAGTAGGAGAGTTGAGATCGACAAGATTCGAATCGATTCGTTAGTTGATTTCTTTCTTTTTTCTTTCTTTTTTTTCTTTTGCTTGTTAGCGGTTGGTGGTTGGGGGAAACAACGCGTGGGGTGCGGTGTATAAACAGCAAAAGGGACCGGCGACTTGCTGATCTTTTCTTGCCTTGCTGCCTTCCTTGTCTTGCCCTAGGGGAACTACCAACCTGCCAACCCAACAGGACAGTAGAGGACTTCTCGGACCCAACTTGCGGTCCTCGGCTCGCGGCTCTCGTGCAGCGCTACGACTCACATGCCGAACCGTCGCGTCAACACGTCGTTTGAATGATGAATCTGGCTCACCCCACGAGTCCCTTGCCTCTACACCCTGCTCATGCATCCATCGCCACCAGTCCGATGGACCAACGACTCCCAGCACACACGACAATCAGCATGGCCTTGCCCAACGAGCTCGTCCTTACCATCATCGACTCCATCCAAGACGAACCCATTCTTGCCGTTGGCATGAGTACCACGTTGGACACAGAACGAGACCAAAGGGCCAATACCGCCGCCGACAGAGACCACAAAGTCTCTTTCATGGACCACGTGGTGTGCCACGGCCAGTGGATTTGGTCCCGTCAGCACCAGGTTCAGCCAACCTAGAGATGATTGTATTGCAGCCGCTCCAACAGCTCCCGGCAAGATATGATCAGCCAGCTGACGTTTTCTCCACAGGCAACACTACCCACCAAAATCGCCATCATGCCGACATTGATGCTCTTCTAGACTCGTTCTACATGGTATACACTCTCAGCCCTTCCAACAACGAAGAAGCAATCGAATACCCAAACAAGCGATCGGGGGCTACCCCGACAGCATCGCCATCTCTTCCTTTTTCCTCTTGAACGACGACTCAACCGAGGAAATAACTTGCCCCGAAGCGGTTCCGGGGCAGTCATTGACTAGCAACAGAAGCCAGTGGCAGAAACCATGGGGGCTGCCAACTTGACTGCCTGCACTTCGCATTTCGCAACACCCCTTTTGTTTTTCGCCACGTCAAGCAGCATCCTGCCATCCAACACTTGTCTGAGGATAACCTCTATGATCTTTCCCAACCAGCCCAAGCCCATACTCTTAAGAAATGGATCTGGGACTACTTGGATGCCGAGGTCTCATCGGGATCCCACTTGTATCCAGCTGCTGTATCACACTTAATGCTGCTTCTTCTTTTTCGTTCTTCAGGCAACATTAGATATCATCATCTACGAGCTCTGCCCCCCCCCAGCCAGAAGACCAGCAAACCACAGAAGCTGCCAGCCAGGCAGAGAGCATCTGCCGATAACACAAAGATAGATGGATCGCGATGGGGATATGGGGGATCATGACTATACGGATGGACAAGCCACATGGCTTTCAGCACTTACTTACCACGAGAGAAAGCTTCCAGCGTTGGAACATGGCCATCGTCGGCTCTGGAACAAGTAGGATGCCATGGTACGCCCAGAAGCCCGCTTCTGTCCAGCTGGTATAACCTCAACCATGCCTGGGCAAGCTTGTCGTCATCGCTGCCAAGCAAGGCTCTACGCCAGGAACCGGGAGATTTATAAGAGGGGCAAAGCAAACGGATAGGAAGAAGAAAAAGATCAGAGCTGCCGCTGCTGAGGCCTTGCTGGAAGGATCCCTTTCTTCTTAACTCATCATCTCGTTTCATCAACATCAAGCAGGCGCTAGCCAAACCCAAATGCCTGTCTCACCCGCTCGCTCTCTCAACATATGTTGCTTTGTGCAGCCATTGTCATCGTCACCATCTTCTGGCCTTACGACTCCTTTGTCGTCACCTTATTGACAGCCACTACCGCTGCTTTACTGTTACTGTCACTTTGATCACTTGTTCATTATGCCAGAATCAGCCATCACCGGTTGGCCGTCAAGGCGTAGTCGACCACCAACGTTGGCCGCAGCATACTAGCCATGGCATTTTCAAGTACGTCATGGCCCCCGACAACTATACAAGCTGCGGCATGCGAACTCCATAAGAGGCTGCTACAGGAAGTCGTATAGCCTGAGTCGGCGCATGCATCGACACCAGAGGCCGTAGATGACTCATCTATATAGGCGCCAAGTGTGTGTACACGACATCCAACGGGAGGATCTACCACGATCATGGCCGACGGCACCTCTTGTACCGTCTTATTAACTATCCATAAACTCAAGGATGAGTCCAACTGGCCCTGGTGGATTGTTCTCATGGGGTGCTAACTATGGGAGATGTCGCAAAGACGGTGGGCAAGAGAAGGGAGGAACAAGCCGTGATGTCTTCATGTCAGCTCCTAACAAGGTCTTTGCGTCCATTTTTGGTATTCCAGTACAAAGGTTAACCTGATGAATATAGGTATGTTGTCGTCTTGGATGGTAGCAGGTGGAAACATGGGAAAGTCCAGCTGTTTATTGATTCTCATCACTGGTACAATGTTTATAGGAGAGTAGATGGGATATTACCCAGAAGGATGAATGTTTTCCAATTATGCAGCATCTACCGTCTCGTTCTACGTGCTTCCTAGCTGAAGGCGACGATGAACTCTACGCGGGCGAGCATGGGGTCGATGACATGTCTAGACTTCACCGTTGGCGAGTCACCAGAAGGTTTGCAAACGTGGGCTATGCACAGGGTCTTGTAGGAAAGAGAGCTCAAGGGAATTTTTGACATTCTGAAGAACGAGACGGCCGACAAGGTGACCGACCTCGACCTTTACTTTATGCGCGAGTGGCCAACAATACAGAAGGCCACGTTGATGGGCTCGCTGGACGGGTGAAATTGTTCCGCCTTCCGTCCTTACGTAAGGCGGGAATAGAGATGTACCACCTCGATAGGCAGGCCCTACGTATGTAAGCCACCTACCCAGGCAGATATTAAAGGTACGTACCTGTGCTTATGTCATTGGCAGTAGACCCTTGCTTGCTATTTATCGCCTGTCTTCGAATGGGCGGGCATTGCATCATTTAATTCTCACCCAACGCAACAGACCAATTCATCACAGTCACAAGTCCACTACAACTCTCTATTTCTTGTCTGTCTAATCAGAGCTTCTTTCTCTGCTCCCCGTCCTTTTAGTTCGCATCCTTGTGCTAACCAGAATGACAAGGTCCAGGCAAAAAGTACCCTTAGGAAAATACATCAGCGACGCGGCCTCCATCTTGTCAACTTACCATTATCGCTTCCGATTCAGACATCATCTACCTTGCCAACCAGACCGAACGAACAAGGACTTGCCACCACAAGTTATACATGATTTACCAACACGAGTGAGGCAAGCCAGACTCCAACAAGGGCGTAACTGGCGTAACGGCCATGATAGTACTGTTCCCCTAGCATCAAGGTCGTGACAGCTTCGCGACAGTGTCATCATTGACTGACACTTGCCGTACTTATCTAGTCTCTCATTAAATTAGTGCAATACCACTACTCACTGCACTGCAACGAGGGTAAATGACGATGGACTGAGACTCTGCTTCTAGACACGCATCGATTTCGCATCACACCCCCAGCATCCTTTCCTACGTCGCCTTGAATCGCGATGCCTGCATGCATGCATGCAGCTGCCAAAAGTGCCGGGAGATGTATGGAGGTGGATGGATAACGATGGGTGTGTGGGCACCTTTTGGCAACACTCGACCTCGTCTCGAACCACGCAAGCAAACAATTCTTCATTTTGTGGGAGACCCTTGTTTCGATCCCTTGACAAGTTGGCGCCGGTGACTTTTTTCCCATCACCGGACAGGTAAGCAAACAAACAAACAAACAAACAAGAAGAGGTAGGTAGGGACACGTACGCACGCAGAAAATTAGGTAAATCAAATCCATCTGATTGTTCGTTCCACTGCCGAGGGAGGTGAGCAATATTAATAATACGAACTCAGGTTTCCTCGCCGAATTGTGACATTTGACGTCGCTTCACTTCATCACCATCGTCCCCCCTTGCACCACCGGCTCCCGGCGTTGCATCCTTCTTGTTCCATTCATTCATTCATTCACTCATCGTCTTCACCTTCGTTCACGTCGCCTTTGCTCCGTCGGCTCAGCTCTTGGAACCAAGGGCTCGCTTGATCCAAGAACAAACGGCCTCGACACTTGTCCAAATGTCCACCTCGCCCCCTCCCGAGTCGCGGCCGGTCCCGTCATCTAGGACATGGCTGTCTTCGCCGACTCCATCCTCGCCATCTCCATCCTCTCCCTCATGCTCCTGCACCGTCCTGCGCATCCGCCTCTGCTTCCCCCCGGCCGCCTCTGCCGCCACTGCTCCCCGATACGGAGACACGCAGGTCGTCAACATGGCATTTGGCCACGACTTCGTCCCGACCCCTGATGTCCCCCTCAGCCTCCATGTCCGGCGTCGCGGGCCCGTCCGATCCGTCTATGGTGAAGTCGACTGCCTTCCCCAGGTCACGGCATACAATCTCTACACCATCAACCAAGAAGTCCACATTGGTCGTGCCACGAACCCCACGAATCCTGCTCTTGACTCTGCCTCGGATCCCTCCCCTAGTCCTGCCGAGTTTGAAGCCGACACCGAGCCCGAGACTGCCCAAGAAGCCGCCGGTTCTCGGCTCCTCCGGGCTAACCCCCCCAAAACCACACATTTGCTGCTGGGCGCCATCGCACTCACGCTCGCTGCCGCCGCCGCCGTCATCGTCGTCCTGTACTCGATTGGTACACCTCTTCTTGTTCGGCCCCCCCCGCCTTGTGGCCGTGAGATGGACGGGACGAGATCACCCCCTCCCGTCTGTAAACACAAACGCGCCGCACCATTGACGCTGTTTGACGACCTGGCCGCGCTTATCACTCGTCGTGTCAATGCTCCCCTGCCCCTGACCGTCACTGCTCAGGCCGTCATCGACCAGCACTACAACGCCAGCCACGGTTCGTCGGACCCGACCCGCGGTTCGACCCCCATCACCGTCTTCTTCATTCATCTGCGAGAGACCTCGGCCGGCCTTTGCGACGACGCCACCGACTGGGCTCTGGAATCCAAGTCACCCATGCTAGATGGCCTCGTCCTGCTCTGCTCCTCCATCCACGATTCGCTGGTTGATCTGCCGACGCGCTGGCTGGAGACCAGCGGCTTCATGTCGTTTCCGTATTCCTACAAGTCCATCACTGCCATATCCTCTTTTGTCAATGCCCTTGAGCAACACGACGGGACCGACGCTTATGCTGATTCATCCGACAACAACAATATGTGCTTCTACAACACAACGTCGTACGCCGTAATTCGCTCTCTCAAACAAACCCTGTTCGGTGGCCCAGGTTTTGCCCATCTCGCACACCCTGTCTACGATGCCATCCGGATAACGGCTGCCCTTGAGAGGGAGTTGACGGAAGCGCATAGCCGCCTGCTTCTATTCAGTAGCATGATTCGCGACAGCTTCATTCCCGCTTCTAGAGCTCACCAGCAAGCCAATGCAAAATCGTCGTGTTCCTGGATGTCCGGCTGCCGTTTAAAGACTGCCCGCGTGGACCTGGCCGATAGCACACCCAGATACAATCGCCTCCTCTCCCTCATCAACACGGCCACCACCTTGGTCTGGATTGTCGCCTTTACCCACCAAGAACTCGCCAACGTGAGAGACGTCTTGGAGCGGCTGGGAAACCAGACCTTGGCCCTAGTTGCCGTCCCGCCGGGGCCGACCGCCGCCTCGTCCACGACGCGACCCGATCGTCGCCTTGCCCATGACCGACAACAACACGCGCCTGTTGCTCCATGGGTCGAGCTAGGCGAAGGCGGCCTTACGTGTACCTTTTGGTACCTCCCACCTGTTCAAGATATCATTGCCACCTTTAAGAAGGTCCTGGGCTGGTGTAAGAGGGAGGACGGTTTGAGCGGGCAGAACTTTATATGGTTATGCGACGCTCATCAGGCATGGGAATGGTAGCCAAGGTAGCCAAGATAGAAACCGTGCTCAACATCAATGACACGGAATTCTCGTTTTTATTTTATTTCTTCTCCCTTCCTCGTGCGTGTGTGTGTGTATCTATCTCTCTGCCGGCCAAGTGCCACACTGCCCTCTCTCACCTGCAACTACTCCAACTACTACAATTGCTGCAACTGCTGCATCTGTCCTTCTAATGCAATATGTCCTTGCCGACAGGGCGGTCACTCACTTGTTGCTCCATCCAGCCGTCTAGATAGAGAGAGCACCAACTAACGCTGGCGGCGGCTCTTCAGCACCTGGCTCCATTCCTGCAAAGCCTTCTCTTCAACACGCGCAGCAAGCTCTGCGGCCTCGAGGGCCTGCGTGACGGCATCGTACGCCCCGTGCTCCCGCTCGAGGGCATCTAGCCACGCGTCGCGGGCCTCCCGCCACGCTCTCCGACGCTCGTCCCGGTGGTCCTCCCGCTGCCACGGGTTGCCGGGACCGCCTGGGCTGCCCGCCGTCGCCGTCGCCGTGGCCGTCGCTACCGCCCTCTTGGCCCGCTTGGCGTCGGCCTTGCAAGCTTCCATGGCGGCCTTGTTGTCAGACGTCTCGCGCCGCGCGGCGGCGAGAACCTCGCGCTTGTCCGCAAGGTCCTGGAGGGCCAGGGAGGCCGCCTTGGTGGCCTCGAGGGTGGCCAGGAACTCGGGTTCCATCTTCTGGTACGCAGACTCGAACCTGTACATCTCTTGACGCATGCGTTCCATGTCCCTTGCGTCGTCGTCCGACACAGCAGCGGCCGAGAGGGGCGGCGGCACGGGTGGATGGGTTGCGCGAGCAGGCGACCGATCAAGCAGCCGCCGCCGGTGTGCCGGAGGCAGAGAGGTGCCCCTCGTCGTCTTCATCGTCGTCGTCGTCTTCGTCTTCGTCGCCGTCGTTGGAGGTGATCCCTGGACATTCAAGCCAGAAAAGATTCTCGGAAGCGTTTCGGATTCGCTGGGTCGTGCTGCCAGTGACGATAGAGGCGGCAGCAGCACGGCAGACGGAGGCTCGGAACTGGGCCGGACGGGTGGCGTCGCCGCCGCACCTTGGTCATCGCGGTTCGCGTGGTTGCCAGCAGCAGCAGCGGCAGCGGCGGCGGCGGCATCGGCATCGGCATCGTCGCCGGCCTTCTTCTCGTCGTACCACCTCGAGACGTGCTGCAGCTGGGCCGACAAGGAAGCCTTGTTGGTCCAGTTAGGCTCCCAGTCCGTCTCGCCATCCTCCGGCGTCTCCCAGCCGACACCGTGGTCGATGAGGGTATTTATTTGGTCGAGGACGGCGGCGGAGAAGTAATTCAGCAGGTCTTGGTGGTTGGGTCGCTGGGCGTCGAGGTGCTTGTGGAATCGCCGGAGTTGGCGAGCCCGCATGGCTGGATCGATGCGTGTCCGGCTACGGCTACGGCCAGACGGCGGCGTCATTATCCTCTGGCTGATCAGCAAACACGGCATCAGAACCAAAGAGGCGCCGCACCGACCGTTTAGGGGGAGACCCTTTTGTCTCTCTCTCTCTCTCTCTCTCTCTCTCTGTGTGTGTGTGCGTGACCTGTAGATTCGTTCATTCACGAGAAGAGGCGTGATAGGGGGCTTACCGAGTAGGATACAGGACCGAGGTTGACGTTGACGACAGATGATGGCATGAGAGCTTACCTCCCCACGGCGGTGACGGGCAGGTGAAGAAGCATGAGAAGAGAGGAACCGAGAGAGAGAAGGGGAAGGGGGACATGGCAAAGGTGTCGGTCCCGGCAAGCAAATGTCATGTCCTCGCAAGCAAACGAACAAACGGGACACACAGGCGGTCAGATGAGGAGAAGAAGCATGGACATGGACAGGGTAAGAATTTTCAACCTCGTGTAACGCCGTCCAGTACGCCGCGCACTGTGGACGTGTGCCATGATGTTCCCGGACAAGATGGATTTGTTACTGTCTACGAGATGGTCTTTGTATACTGTCTATTGTATACTGTCTACCTACTTTTGCCTGTACAGGGGGGGCGGATACTTGCATCTTTTCCCCTGCCCCCTGCCCCTCGCCATTCTCACCCTTGGTTTATCATTACTCCTGCTTCTGTCCTCAGGGCACTGCGCTATCGTCCTTGGCCAAAGCCTTGGTTGGAGAGACAACGGGCCGGGCAACCAGGCCTCTCCAAACCATGACGCGGCACAAGCGACGAGGCGCGAGGTGAACCCCCCAATCCTCACCTCACCCTCCCCCCCAAGTGGCGCTCAGCACCCCTCTCCCCCCCCTCGTAGTCAGCGCTCCATCACACCAGAACGAACCGAGTCCGGGCATCCACGGTTGTTCTTGTGTGTGTAGGTGCGTCACGACTACAAAGGGGGGAGGGGTTAGGGGGCGAGCTGCCAGTCTTGAGAGGCAGATGGAAAGAGAAAAGGGGGAGAGGGTACCAGCCAGCCGGCCAGGTTGCCGTCTGTCTTGAGCAGAAACCTTTGCATGGATTCGTCCCATGGCGGGCAATTCAAGGATTTGCAATGCCTGCCTTATTGACTGATGTCTGTGTAAGGTGGGAGGTGCAAAGGTTTCCGTCAGGTTCAGACCGTCAAGTCGCGTCTGTCTGCAGCAGCCGATGGTACATGTTTGCTTGTTTACATGTGGCGCTAGCGACAAAAGACGGGAACGAAAGGACGGCAACGCAAACTTGGGCCTTTCATTTCATCTCAGCAGCAGCACTCCCCTTCCCGTCGGTTCCCGTGTTCCCTGCCGAGCCGTCTCGTGCCGACACCTCTCTACCTCTTGATGCCTGCAACCTCCTATCGGCCTGGAGCAAACAAGACGGGACCCATCCCATGCCCACGCGAGAGAAGCAGCGTTGCCCGGACCGCGCTAACTCTTTTGTGGGGGAAGGGAAGGACTCCGGCATGTTTGCCCTGAACTGAGAGGATGCGCACGCACAAGGGGGTGGGAGGGCGGGGGAAAGGTCAGGCCCGGGGGGAATGAGGAATTTCTGATGACGGGAGATGTGGGAGATGTGAGGCAGGCAGGCCAGGCAGACAGTCTTTTTGGTGGTTCGAGAGGTTCCTCTTGGGTTCTCACTTGACGCTTGACGAGAGCCTCTTGTCACGCCTGTGCCGCCGCGCCGCCGAGGAAGGGGGATCATGCTGCTCCGAGCCGTTGCCAGGTCGCACGAGCGTGTCCTTTTTTTCCAGTTGTGCATGTATGGAGGGAGTAGAGGAGGACACATGTGGACGCTCGTGCGGCTCTTTTCTTCCGGCTGGCCTCGTGGAGAGGAGAAGAAGAAGAAGCATGGCAAGTTTGTGTATGGATTGGATCGGCTCGGGGAACGGCTCGCGGATCAGCTGGCTGGCTGGTGGGATGGCTGGTCATCTCGGATCTGAGCACGGCACTGTCAGTCTGGGCAGTTCCACGACATACACGGCATATCGATGACGGGGGGGGGGGGGGGGGTGGGGAGCACACTTACGGGACATGGAGACTTTGACCAGGCTTTGGACGATGCGGATATTGCAAAGGACGGGTTAGAACCGCCTTGCATGGTGGCTGGTCTTGGGAGGATGCCAGGCCGCAGGACAGGAGCAGCACGATATTGGATGAGTGCTCTGACTGTTCTTGATGGTGGTTTGTGTGTGTGTGTGTGTGAAAGAGTTGTTGGTCTTTCTCTTTGAAATTCTTTTTTGCATCAACTTTTCTGTTGCTTCTCGTTCCTCTTGAGAGGCGATGAGTCTGCGTTTTGATAGAGATGGTCAGAAACTAGTCTATGGGGGCTTGCGAGGCGTCATATCATCTATATCTCTCCATCTCACTCTCACTGGATGTCTCGCTGTGAGGTCAGATGAGGCAGAGGAAATTCCACATGGATCAAGACATGGAGACATGGCGGCGGATATCATCTTCAAATGAGTCGGTTTCGGATCAGCACATGGATGGGTCGTTATCGGAACCATACATGTATGTATGTACATAGCCGTTCGCTATTTGCTACTCCTTTTGGCCAGAGAGAACAAGTCTCTCTATCTGTACTATGTACTGTCGTGGACGACTCGTCTCTCTCACACTCACTCTCACTCACTCTCACCCACTCTCACCCACTCTCACCCACTCTCACTCACTCTCACCCACTCTCACCCACTCTCACCCACTCTCACCCACTCTCACCCACTCTCACTCACTCTCACCCACTCTCACCCACTCTCACCCACTCTTACGTGATCACACTCTCTTACTCTGGTTGATAACCAACCTCCCCTCTACATCTATTTCTTTTGCCTATTCCCTCCTTCCCCCCCCCACCCCTCATCCATCTTTCCAAACCGTTTCTTGTTTTCTCCTCTTCCTTTCCTCCTTTTTGCCCGTCATGATCCAGCACGCCCAGCATCTCTCCGAGACTCCCAGACGCATGTTTCTCCGACTCTGAATCTCACATCTCTCTCGTCTGTCTCACCTCATCGGCCTCTGCCTGTCTCCATCTGTCCGTCTGCCTGTCTCGCCCTTGTCTCTCCCCTCCCTCCCCCTCTCTCTCTCACAGCCGACATGTCGACTCCCTCTAGACGTCAGGGCTTGCAAGACAGTCTCTTTGCCGACCGTGCCTTCACCGACAGTCCCTTGGCCGCCCAGTCTATCGCTGACTACAGCGACGCGCACCGTCTCAGACTTGTGGATCGCCACCATGACAGCACCGCAGGTCAACGGCGTGCCTACGTCGCCGCCCTCAACGAGGTGGCCGGCAAGCATCTGCTCCCCCAGGAGAGACAGTTCCTCGCCCGTTTCAACCAGTCCCAGCCCCAGACGACCTGCCACAGCCCGCCCCCCGCCGGCCCCCCGTCCGACCGCTCGCCCCCAAGCACCCCATCTACCACGCTGACCGACATGAACCTCGAGCAGCGCGCCCAACAGATCCCCAGGCACTCAGCCAAGATCGTCAACCTCTGGGAGCACGAGGTCCGCGAGGGACGCGTCACCGATCGCGTCAGGACCCGCCGCGGCACCCGCGGCGGTGAGTCGTCCAGGCGCAAGCAGGCCGCCATCATGATGCCCCCTGAACCCCCCGAACCTATGCCTGACCGACGGGCCCTCCCTTCAGATGTCTCGGACGTGGCATCAAACGCCTCCACCGCCGGCTTCCTCCATCACACCGACGGCCTCGTGCTGCCGCAGCCGCAGCCCCCGCCGCCGCTGTCGTCTACCCGCCACGACGAGCGCCCACCGAGCGTCGCTGGTGCTTCTCCTGGCACTGCGGCAGCCCACGTCCAAGAAGTGGCCCCCCTCTCCTCCTCCTCCTCCTCCTTCTTCTTCTCCGAAAACGACAACGGTCCCAGAGCCTTCCTCCGCCCTGATCAGCTGCAACAACCCGAACCTTTCACACGAGACGCGCCCAAGGACGAGCATAACGACGCCCGCGCGCAGCTGGAGCATCTCACGCAGGAGCTCGTCAGCGCCCAGAGCAGTTACAAGAAGCACGCGCAGGCCTTGGTCGACGCCGATGCAGAGATCAAGCATCTCAGCGCCTGTGTGCTCCGTCTCACGTTCCGGGACAACCAGCAGCAGCAGCAGCTTGACGCCTAGCATGCGCAGGGCCGTGGGGGAACAGGACGCCGACGATCGAAACACGCACCCGCCGTCGTGTGCTGCAGAAATCCGTCCCCCCTTTTGCGAAGAGCGGATGGCGGCTGGCTGTGTCTTGACCTGGTCTGCCTGCTGCAATTCCTGCTGCTCTTCTCTTGAGACAGGTTCTGCGTCTTTGCGAGCGACAGCCTTTGACAGGAAATCACTCTGTCGACCTAATCCAATATTGTCTACGAGCCAGCTGGTGAAGCGGATGCAAACGAACCTGTCGGTTCCTCACCCGTCAGGCAGGACAAACCATCTTCACCCCATCTTCGCCTCATCAACATCATCATCATCAACGTCGTCATCATCATCATCGTCATCATCATCATTTTCTACATGATCATCTTCATCGTCTTCACCTTCATCAACAACCCGTTCCATCATGCCTCTCAATAACGCCGCGGCTCGTCCGACCAAGACGGTAAAGCAACCACCTAAACAAACAAACCCCCATGACCTTCCTCACGTAAAGCGGCTTCGCTGACCATGGGCCTTCCACACGTAGCACTTCCACGGCCTCGAGATCAACCCGCAGATGCGCATTCACTGGAACCTCAAGGAACGCATCGTCATGTTCGGTCACATCGCCAAGCACCAGCTGACGAACCTGTCCGTTGACTACCGTATCCAGGAGCTGCACCGCCGGCTCGGCATCAGCAACATGGGCCAGAAGTACATCGAGGTCATATACCCCCGCCTCTACACCGCGCTGAGGGCGCGCATCGACGAACTCAGGTCCAGCCCAGACCATAGTCCGATGCTCGTTGGCGTCGTCGAAAAGGGCGGCCGGATGAGGTTGTACGTCGCGCGTTCTATGTTTCCCGTTGTCTGGTGATGGATGATACTGACTGACACTTCTTCCCGGTCCAGCTACCCCAAGTTCATGGATGCCTGGGCCCGGCACGGCTGGGACGGCGACATGTCCAAGCCCCCACCCGACGACGAGGTCGACCGGCAGTCCGACGATCGAGACGAGGCCTGCGTGATACTGGACGACGAGGTGGAGCCGGAGCCGGAGCCGGGGCAAGAGGGACAGCAGCAGGAGGGCGAGGTCTGGGACGGACGCGAAGCCGATGACTCGGTCGTGCGCATCGAGCTGGAAGCAGCTTCGGCTGCCTCAATCATCTCGCCCCCGACTCCGGCTCCCGTCATCATCCCTTTGCCCAGCCCGGCTCCAGCTCCAGCGGGAAGCCTGGGCAAATCACCACCTCGGCCGCTCAGGTGCCCCAACGGACCTCCTCGGAGCAGGGATGAGAATGGCTTTGTTACTGGGCAGGAAGTTTTCACATTTCAAGGCGCGGCGCCGCCGCCGTTGCGTCCCTCCCAGAGACCCGACGCGGCGGGCTCGGCGGCCTGCCAAGATTCTCATCACCGGGCCGCCCTCCGCAGGTCTCGCGTCTTCCATTCCGGCGGCTCCAAGATCCCTCTTTTGGTCATCGGCGGGGGGGTACCCATGCTGCCACCACCACCACCGATCCCGGGATTCGCTCATCAACAACACCCGACGCGCGATGCCGCCGCAGCCACTGCCACCGCGGCGTTTGCTGGGTCCTCGCCCAGCCGGCGCGCGCTGGTACTCGCGACGCCCTGCCACGTCACGCACGAGATGCTCAAGCAGTACAAAGCGGCCATGATGCGGCTCGTCGAGCTGGACATGGAGCGTCGGCTCTGCGAGGTCGAGGCGGTCAAGTGCCTCGTCCTGGCCGACGCCGAGATGGCCGAGGCGCGGATGCGCAGAGCGAGGCAGATCGTTGCAGACGACGCCTACGAGGTGCGCTCGAGGCTTGTCTATCTTGACCGCGAGCTCGAGAAGAGGGGCTACACGTCAGGCGGACAAGGGCTCGGACCTGTAGCCGCCTTATCCCTGGTATCTCTGGGATTGGCTTCGGACGGGCTGGCATGGAGCGGTGGGAGGTGAAAGCGTCTGTTTGTTCGCGCTTTTTCTTTCTTGTTCGTCTTTTTTCTGCTGATTGGAGCCCTTCTTCCGTGACATTGATGCAAAAGAAATCGGAGGAAGACGTTGGGTTCCTGTCCCAAAACCAGCACATGATGACGGCCGATTTACACGAAGCGCCGCGTTTGTTTGTCTACACACCACGATCCTCTCTAGCTAGGTATCGATCCGCATGCCTCTCTCGTTTCCCTTATATCTCCCTCAGTCAACCATCCGCTCTTGTGCGTACTCGCCCCATTTCATCCTCCTTAGCCAGCGGCGTACATGGACAGACTTTGTTGCAGGAGGAACTCGACTACAACAAAACACAACTGGAAGAGTTCAAGGTCAAGTATGACAGAGTTGTACAAAACCAAGAGCCCCTCCAGAGCCAGTTGCAGGAGCTCCAGATAGGCATCCTCAATGCTGCAGAGCGCAACAAGACGTACCAAGCATTCCTCTGCGCCTTTGTCGCTGACAATCCCCAGCACATTGACACCTTTGCAAGCATCGGCTTTTCCTCTGGTAGCGTACCACTGGGCAACTGTGCGACAGAAGAGGTCCAAGAAGAGCTTCTCATATCCTTTGATGAGATCCCGCCGCCTCTGATGACACATTATGCACCTCCTCATAGCAAGCTCTCGGATTATTCAGGGTGTCTGCTGGACCTGCTTCTGATCGGACCAAACTGGCTTTAGTCACCCGGGCACACGGCTTCAAAGCCGGCACCACTGGAACGGCCGAAGAGCGGGATCCTCGACGCTGGCGGCCTAAGCACGGGGAGGACATGGTTGACGTACTCGGCGCGGGCGCCGTCCTCCCACAGAACCGACGCTACCGCGTGGATCAGCCCTTCTTCCTCGACGACGACGCCGCCGCCTCCGCCGCCACCCGTGCTAAAGCCCTCCGTCATCAGCTGCCGAACGGCCGCGGCGTTGTTTGACCTGCACGCCTCGTCTTGGCAGGGCCTGTCGGCCGGGTCCAGGTCCACGAGGCGCGCGGTCCACGCCTTGGAGACGGCGGCTTGGCCCGGCCCGGCGTCCGGATCGAGGCCCAGATACTTGAAGAGCTCGGGGTACGGCACCGGCGTGGCCGGGGTGTCCCCCGCTGGGAGCGTCTGCTGGCGACGGGCGTGGAGCCGGCGGATCACGCGGCAGATGCGGGCGCGTGTCGGGGTGACGGCGGGGCCGTTCCTGTTTTCCGGTGGTTCTGACAGATGCTTCTTGAGGCTATCGAGACCGTGTTGAGTCGAGTCCCCGCCCGCATCTCTGCTATTGCTCGGGCCGTACAAGTAAAAGATGACCAGCCCGATAAGCAAAACAAGCACCACGCGGTCAACGAGTCCTATCTTGGTCGGGCGGCGCCGACTACAAGGGGCGGGAGTTTGTTCTGGGACCGGGCCCCGTGATGGAAGATGCGTTTTGTACCTGCTGTCGGACGGTATAGCGGTGGCGTGTGGCTGGCTGCTGCGCTGTTGGCTCTGGAGTCTGCGATGAGGATGAGGACTATCGAACGGCCCCATGGTGGAAGGCGTCGTACGTGGTGGACCAAGGAATCTTGAAGTGAATGAGCGGTGCGCGCAGGTTGACTGTCCAACTCCGGGCGCAGCGACAGATATGAACAACATGTTTTTCTTCCACTTTGTCCCCCTTCTACTCAGCGAAAAAAACGAACGCCATCGTTGGCAATAGAACAGAAATACCATTAGTTTCAGAATTATAACATGTCGGCTTAGTTTCCGTCCTTTGTTTCCTTTGTTTGCGTTTCGAGACGCGAAGCCCACACAAGATGGTAAGGACAGGCCGGCCCTGAGCATATTGGTCCCATGGGAATCATTCCGAAACCTGTCCATTGTCCTTCTTTCCTTGATTCTTGATGGGCGCTCAGTTACGGACGGTTTCAAACAAGAGAGAGAGAAAGAGAGAGCAACTGGTCCGTCTGTTCAGTCGCGAATCGTCCAGAAGCCGTGGATGTGATGTGTCGCTCTTACTGGCCTCAACCTTTGCCAAGAGACTTATGTGACTGGGGTCTGCGTGAATGACAAGACACTGATGCTTCTAACCACGGGATACAACTGATTCTATGTCTGCCCATCATACGTGGCATGCTAGTCCCTATATAAGTTAGCGACAGGACGCATTGAATCCTCTGGTTTCAAGTAGAATTACTGTTACAAAACCTAACAACAACAAAACATTCAACATCTTGCCGGATAGAAATCATGCCCTCCATCTCGCGGAGAGAAGACCGAGAACGGGAGAACAGGACGTACAGACTGCTCCAAGCCAAGGTCCGGGCCGAAGCCGAAGCCGAAGCCAAGCGTCAGGCCGCTGCAGAAGTTCAACAGCGAGGACCAGCCCTCGACGAGGCTGAGCAGAGGCAGGTGAGGTTCTCGGACACGCCAGAGACATTTCATTACACGGCATCGACACCCAAAGGACAGGGCAGCGAGGACTGGGGTAGCAAAGACGACGAGGAAACGGCCGTCAGTCAAGAGCTGTATGAGGATCATCATCATCATCATCAGAAGCAGCAGCAGCCGGCCGGAGGCCATCGCGGCGAGAACCCGAAAAAGTACACCTTCCGAGACGCCATACTTGTCGCGAGCGGAGCCACGCTCAACTGGACGACGTCGCATCACCAGGACTGCAGAGGCGCTGGCAGTCCCGAATTTGCGCACCCGGGCCACGGCAACAACAACAACAACAACAAGCCTGGCAGGCCGGGTTTCTTGCTGCGTCTTGTGCGTTTCTTCATCCGGCACTACTGTGTCGTCCTGGCGGTCCTGCTTGGTATCATCTCGTGGGCGGCGCTGGCCTGGTTCTGTGACGTTGTGCAGACCCGAATAAGAAGCTTGGCGGACTTGCTTTCCTCGCCGCTCGCATGGCCGCAGGCCGCCCTTTCAGGCCTGATGGGTTCTGCGTGGGGTCTGTTGTTCCCGTCGGCGCACGATGCCAGTCCCTGGAGCCCCTCCTCTCCTCCCGCCGCCGCCGACTTCTCCCCCATGGTTCCCGACCTCAGCACCGTCCTCGGCGTCGTCCACCGGACCGGGTCAGGTGTGAAGGCGCTGTCCGAGATGACAACCAGCGTGCAGCAGGACACGCAACTGAATTCTGCCATGGATTTCCTGTTCAACATGTATGAGGCGACTGATCTACACTGGATAGCACACCTCCGAGAAGAAGAGCTAGGCCTGTCCCACCTGACGTTGCAGCTCCAAGACTTTGCCGAGAGGGCAGGGCGCAAACAGCGGGTGCCTTTGCCCCGGTTCCTGTGTCGGGTCCCTCTGTTAAGCGGTCTGGAAACATGCAGGGCGTCTGTAGACCGGTTTGACGTGCAGATGCAAGCCGTCCTCGACTTCCTGTCTGAGGCCAAGGAGTACCGGAGCAGTGTGTACAACAAACACATGACGGCACCTGTCATGCACAAGGTCAGCAGGTTGGTTTGCAGGCTGGGCGACAGGTTTAGCTATGTCAGTCTTGGCCTGAGGGAGACGGTGCCCGACGCGGACGAGGCCGGGTCACCTCTCATGGATGCCCATGTCCTCGAGACCTATCTGCAAGACCAGCAAGACGGCTTGCGCATGTCCTGTCACGTCATTGTGGACATTGGGTCGGAAATGGCAGACAAACGCAAGCAGATGGATGACGACGTCAAGATGCTGACCAGGATGACCAAGTCGATAGGGCATGTACGGCGCAGCGTGGCGGACAACACACTCCAGCTGAACCGCGCGTGTAAGGCGGTGATTAAGGACCTGGGGATGCTGACGGAGAGGTTGAATTCGTGGTAGACCCAGCAGCGGCCGTTGCTGGAGCACACAGGCTGTGGGAGGTGAGGCGACGAAGTGGGCAATATTTGCGTATATTGCACCGAAGTGATGGTAGTGATGATGCGTGAAGCTAGGAAAAGAGCTAACTAGCCCATGGGCTGGCTGGTGGGCCAAAAGGTGAGGGGCCGAGACTGGCCAATGTGGGGGTCACGTGATCGCCGCCCCCCCTCACCCCCCCGCGCCCTCAACACAGGGCTAGAATAGGCACTTATAGATCCTGTCCCACAAGGCACGCCACATTGGTGCTATTGACAACATGCCAAACATTCTTTGACAAAAAGATACCCATTACCATTAAATGTTCGCTTTTCTTTCCATCGCTTGGTGCCAGCTTACGGAGCTACCTCATACTACCAGTGATAACGACAAGACAGGCAGATCCTCAGCGGCCGCACAAGGACCCCATGATCAGCCCAACACCTACAACTCGGACATGTCGAGTCACGACCATCATCGCATGCTATCATCAGATTGCGTCATGACAAGGGCCAAGGGGCACGAGATGAAAGACGTAGAGTTAGAGGGGAAACGCGCACCGGTCGCGGTTGCTCCGATCCTTCCAGAACATACAGAGTCCATTTGAACCATCAAACACATTCTAGACCATTGTCAAGACCTGGAGGGTATGAGTCTTGGTTTATTTTGATTGGGCGCCTTCTTTCTGGATTCATAAGAGTTGACAGTTGCGCATGGTGTGTAATGGAAGGTTGGGCTAAAGCAGCAGTTGAGCAGAGTGAGATTTAATGGTTGGAGAGCAAGGAATGCCATGTGTAGTTTAGAGGAGAGGACCCAACAGTTTGGCAAGAAACTTGGGTGAGACTACTCCGGACAGTAGACGATTTGTACACGATCAAGCAATTCTTGAACGTCTTGGTGTTGGGGACCAACCATCAGGCTGCGCATCTCGTTCTGCACCCTTCTTTTGGGCTAATAGCTAAAAGAAGAAGAAAAGATACTTCTTCTATCGCCGACGACTTACAAGAAGGAAACAAATTCAGCCCTCAGAAGGCAGTCAGGCGGTCACCTGTCCACTGCATTCTGAGCTCACTCACTCACTCACTCACTCATTCATATAATCGACCGTTAAAAAGGTGGGTCCGTGGCTGCGATCCCTACCAGCCACGGTCCAGTAAGGATGCTGCTTGCTGTCTGCCCACCTGCCACCTTTGGACGCCAATCCTGACGCCATTGATGTTTTTTTCGTGCACCAAGATTCAGCCACGCATCCGCAATGCGATGGATGCATCACAGATAGATGTCTGGACTGCTTGACAGCATGGGCCAAGAATGCTTGCTGTAGGTAATTGTCTGTCCATCTATCCGTACTTGACCCCAGGTACCTAGGTACCTGTCTCATTGTGTTGATGCAGTCCATGGATGGAATCAGTGACGTCATCTTTGTCGGCAATTGGCTTCGGTTTTGGAATTTGTCTCAATGATTGCATGTCTTGTGGCTTCTGCCTGGGCCTGGGAGCACGCGGGTAACATTCCATGAAGTGGCCGTGGTTGGGCTGCCTCCTAACGATTATGACTTTGATACCCAAGTACCTACCTTCTAAGGATCTGAAAGGCTGCTATGAGAAATAGCTGCCCGTACCAAAAAGCTGCTGCACCTCCAAGGATTCCCGCTTCTTGCGCCTCTGCCCTCCTGCCCTCTCCGTTCCTATCTCCCTCTCCCCCACCCCTCACTAGATCAACATCGTTGACCATCTTCCCAGAAGCAAGCGACTCTGCACGACGGCGTAATTCCTCCTGCTCAGTTCTCGCAGATACAATTAATCCAGTTGGTTTGACTATCAATTGGCTTCCAAGATTGCATAGAATTCATTGCTGATATATGTTTTATCCAGGCACACCCTCCAGTGCCAAACCAAAAGAGCCCTCCGAACCAGCCCCCGCAAGGCATGCATTCCTCCATTACCGCCCTCCAGTTGCCATTTTCCCAAGATCCAACGCCCAAAACCTCACCTTTTTCGTTCCCCCCTGACTCGCATTACTGTCCCGTCGACCAAGACAAACAAACGCATTGCTAATGATCCCAACGACTTCCTGTTCAACATTGGCTTCCCCTGCACACTGACCCAGCGACCGCATTCGACTTGAGCGCGAGAACATGGAAGCGAAGGGCAAGGGTTGGAGTTAAGTTCTTTATTGTGCACCTGATCGTGTGGGCAGGTCTATGTTGATGGTGGTGGTGGTGGTGGCAACGGAATGAAGAAGAGCTGGCTGGCTGACGAAGAGATACTTGAGTAGGCGAGGGTGTTAATAGGTGGCTGGTTAGCATCTAGTCTTGATAAAGTAATGTGACTGCACCTTTAATGGTAAGATGCATTGGGGCTAGGGATGCGTGGAGGCGGGAGGTCCTGGCACAGAGAAGTTGAAGGCGCGTGGGGAATTCCACTACTCCCGAGATGCGGGTTGATTGCTGCTGAATGGACCCAGCTGGGTAGTGAGTAGGTTGGTCAACGCCCGAATCGACCCAGATTTAAATTGGGATATGTTGCGCAGAGGTCTAGGAGCCAATTTCCACGCTCCTGTGTGTGCATTCTAGTAAGAGTGGGCGTTTTCTCTACACTTTGTGTAGAAAAATATATCTAATTAATGCACTCAGCATTTCAGCCCCGCTTTGGCCTAGGCATTCGGGTGTTTTCAGGCCAGCCAATTGCCCTACGCTTCAACATTAACAGGGTGCATGCGCGTTAGAAGGTCTGGAGAGTGTTCCTGGCTGCCCTGTTAGAAAACCTTGCCTCTCTGGTGTGAATACTAGAGACAGTGGATTTGATGTAGGACCTGGAGAACCTTGAACACTGTGGGCAAGAAAAAGCCTAGCGCAGGGCCTGCATAGAGAGCGGCCTGTGTCTTGCTAAATAATTGGAAAAGGCTGTTGCAGTGGCTGCCTGCTTTATGTTGCGGTGCCTTCGCGAGATTTTGCCGGAGCCGGGATATCTAATAGTCTAGCCGGAGATACGTACTGTGCCACAAGTTGTGTGGAGTTGTGTGGAGTTGTGTGGAGTTGTAACCCATGGATTTTAAGACTCTCACTGGCCAGATTTATGCTGGGTGTGCACAATAGCCTCGAAGTACCTACTGCTGACATGATCAAAATCTCGGCCACACTCACCTGACCAGGGGGTTAAACTTTGGCGGATTAGATGTGGGTGATTTGGACCAATCAAGGAGAGTAAGCGGGGAACTGCAGTAGAAAAATCCCTAACAGTTCGCAACTGGTAGGTGTAGTAGGTGGAGGAAATACCGGTACCACCTTCCGATGTACCAATAGATGTGGGCCTGCCTGGTCTGTGGCGTATTGCAAAGCCACACACACTTGTGGAGAACTGTAGGAGAAAATTCCCCTGCAGATTACATAATCAGCCCCCCACCCCACCTCTCCCTTGCCAGATTACATAATTAGTCCTGAGCGCTCATTAGTGCGCACCTTCTTGGGCGTTGTCTTTCCTCTATGGAGTACGGAGTACGAAGTACTGCGTACAGAGAGGCTTCAGTCATCAGTACCCTGTCGGGGCCATCTATTGTCGCCATGCTCAGCATCCAAGAGACGCACCTTTACGTCGACAAGACAGCACCTCATCAACATGCATTCAACACTTGCAAGTTGAAGCGGGATTTTGCCCAGGTCTCCTTCATTAGCCGCCAGGAGTCGCCATGACCAAGAAGCGAAGCGTGACGCAACCTGCCCTCCAAAGGCTGACAACCTACAGGTTGCAATTGAACCTTGGAAGAACACCACACCGCCCCGTCAGCCAAGGACACACATTTTTCTTCATCACTCCCAGCTACTTACTTCCAAGTTTCCATCTCGGATCATTATTTCAAGGCTCTCCCGGTTGTCAAGCGCGCTCAGAGGTACCGTGCCTTACATCCATTGATACACCCAAGACACTTGGAACAGGTCCAAATCCTCAATCACCGCCTATATGACTCGGATTCTCAAGTCCCTCTGGTATGTTCTCACGCGATAGTCTCAATCAACACCGTCAAGGTGCATAAATGATTGAATTCTTTCGATACAGCCTTTCTACCCAATCAGCAACTCTAACTTGAATCAACATCCTCTCTGTTGTCCACGTCAACATCGTCAACGACCCCGACTAGCGCCCTGTACCAAAAGAATTCTCCATTTCTTGACGAGCTTTTCGAAATCGGGACCGTCCTCCCTGCCGGAATAGCTTGCCTCCCGCAGATCCATAGCCAAGCCCTCGTGCTCCAAATTGCCCCGCCGGCCATTTCTCGTGGTCGTGGTTGGTCTTGGCAATTGCTGGTCTGTGGCTCTCCCGACTGTGCGCACATCCGTCACTGTTCGTCAGATAAAATCATTGCCCCGGACGTGAATCGCTGCGTATTGAATGCATCTTGCCACATGCACAGGTGTGTTGGTGGCCTGGTAGGTAAGGCGGCAGCCAAAATGCACCACAATTTGTGGTGCAATTCAGCAGCTGATGACATAAGACAAGCATCTTGAGGAAGTACCTTGGTTCGCGACGCCGTAGATGTACCGATAAATATACAGGTACATCGTACATGCCATGCCGCGGGAAGGTAGTACCTCCTCCGCCTACTCCACCTATTAAGGTTGCGAACTGCCAGGGGTTTTGGTTCAGATCGTTGTCAGCCCTATTAGATCGCGCTAGATACATACCGTACCTAGATAACAGAGGAGTATTTGCTTACATAAGGCAGGAGCTACCACTATCAACGCCTTGCGACACGGAACTTGGAAGAAAGACATGCCACGCCCACCTACGCTGACGTTCCTCAATCTCACGTCAATCATTTCAACAACCGTGTTCAAGGTACGGGATGTAATACCTTGTTTCGGCGCACCAAGAACGTGAGAATACCTCGGCATCCACCCCATCCTTCCTTCCTTCTCTCTTATTGCAGTCCAAGGATGGTCCGCCAAGCTAGACTTAGGACCGCCCAACCTCTTATCCCCCTCCCCCGCCACATTCGACAAGGCGTCACCAACTCAACCACCAACGATCTAGTGCGTTGTAAGCCTATTATTAAGCCCCCCATCAATTGCCATTTGACCCGTCACCAATTCGCTCACAATCAGAGAGCAAGGGAGATTGTCCTAATTCGAGCCTGCAGTACCTCGACCTTGTGGCATCCATCGCCACCACGTCCCAGAACCCGGATCGCCTCTCGCTCGACGTGTCTGTTCCATCATGGCAGCGTACCCCGACGCTAAGAAGCACCCCATCGCCGAAAAGCTCAACGAACAAGTTCCTCTCCTCAGGAACGCGGCCAAAGGGGCGAGCAAGACAGCCGCCGCCGAGAGAAGAAAGCAGGAGCTAAGCAACCGGCACGCACAGTACCTCCGTTGCCTGGAGGAGGCTTGGCATGGCGATGGCTGGATGTTGCCGGAGCTATTCTGTTCCAACAGCAGGAGTCAGGGCAAGGGCTTCAAAGACCTCCACTACATCTGCAGCATTACCGATATCGCTCTCAAACACGGCATTGACCTCCCCTCGCTCTGGCAGCCTGGCGGCGTGCTCTTCGATGCTATGACAGGAAATCCCTGTGTCTGGACTACAGGAACGTCCTAGGCTGCCCTCAGCCTGCTGCACGACCAATTGGAACAAGAAGATGGTCAGCAAGACCAGGATTCTTCGTCACTTGGGTCTGACTCGGAAATCGACAGAATCAAGAACCCTGACTGCCACAAGTCGGATGCCGCCGACAGCCTAAACTATGAGTCGCCAGAGAACGCGCGGGTAACAAGTCTTGCGTCACCTCTCTTTGACCCCGCAAGCCCCATCTCTCTCGCAAAGCAGCCAGTAATAGACTTCTCGCCTGTGCCGGATAGCCCTGTCGCGTTGCCCCAAAACTGGCTCGCTCCCGAGAGCACTAAAGACCTTGACGTCCCTACAAACCACGACGACCTGGACATCATCCACGCCCATAGCGTTCGCGGCAAGATGATCACGAATGGGGTACACAACGGGGAAGCTACCTAAAGAGCCGCTGAGTAGGATGCCGGCGTTTCCAAACCACGCTCAAGCCCTGTCCGACATGTGATTCTTGATTGTTCCGAGCCCGCCAGATGACGAGCCCAATTTGAAAATATCCAAGAAGCAATCTTGACACTTCGCGATCCCAAACGGCGATTAACGTCTACCTCGATCGAGGCCCTACAGACCGTCGCTATTCACCACGCGTCCAACCACCCGTTGTCAACAGTCGGCCAATCTCTCGTTGTCGACCCCTGCTGGTTGGAGATCGCCAATCAACTGCCAGAGAGATTGCCCAAAAGGTCTGCGGCATTCAACGTCCTTTGCGCCATGCTCCACCATAGGGAGGAACACTGGTCGCTAGTCAGGTTTGATTTTATCGCGTCCGTATGCGAACACTACGATCCCCTGCCCGTCGAGCACAGGTTCAAAGAGACTTGGTCGCACATTCGACCGTGGATCCAACAGCAAACTGGGGTGACATTCTCTATAAAGCGCTTGGTCAACCATCTGTCATCTCTTGACTATCATTTCGTGGCATGCGGCTGGCTGATACTCCGTGTAACAGGATGGACCCGTGCAAGAAGACGCAAGCAGCTGCGGCGCCTTCGTTGTAGCAGCTCTCGAGTGTCTTCTAGTGCGCGATCCCATCGACTTCTCGGCCGCTGGAACTATCACGCGCGAAGCACTGGCCCAAAAGGCTGCAGAATACATCGACGCCAAGTTTCCCTGGTACGTTGAATCCTTAATGCCTCTCTCACCTGGCAATCGCGGGCTCTAGGCTAACAAATTGTGGCAGGAAAGTCGCCAGCGTTGCAGAGGCGCAATCCGCCCAGAACAATATGTCAGACTCGAGTCACATGGCCGAAAAGGCGAGGATATGTGCACACGACTCGACCGTCCAGAAGCAACGCTTCAGTACAACCGAGGAATGGCAACACGTTGAAGGACACGACGACCGCACGCGACCCGCCAAAGCATACAAATCCAATCAGACACAGACGGATGCGCGATGGGGGCACAAGATACATCATGCGACAGCTACAACGGCCGATAGCCCTCTCGCGTTACAAGACGAGCAAGAGGCAACACGAAATGTCATTGGGTAATGCGCCGCCCTGCTTGCGCGACACCCACCTGCTACCGCAAGCGAATTCAAAGAGGTGCAGAAGCGAATGACAACGGAGCGAGCTCAGCTTCGAGAGGCGGAGACACAGCTACAGCGCCGACGAGACGACGTTTGGAAGCTAGAGTCAGTCGAAGCCAAAGTCAAGTCCGCAGCAAAGGTGGAAGAGGCCCGGCTCAAATCACTCCTTGACGTAGCGACAACGTTCAACGCGACCTTTACAGAAGCGCAAGAGAATACGGACGTGGCCAAGGAGGCAATCACTAAGATGCAGAAGACAATGCTGTTAAGGACCAAGTTTCAAAGGATGACGACGGTGAAAACGAGCCAAGAGATGGTCGTGGCACACGACATGACTACGGCAGCTCGAACGAGTGCCAGTGACTGCAAGGCGGAGGTGGAGAGAATCAAAGGTGCATTGGTAGAAACGGAGCGCCGTGTCCGCTTGGAGGAGGAAAAAGAGCAAATGGCCATGCTGGTGTCCATTAGCCAAGGTGGGGGCGACGGTGAGGGCATCCACAGGTATGACGGCTAAGGCAGGAGATGCCACACCAAGTTGACGAGGTGACTGACTACTTGATGGCGGATTCATGGGGAAACATCTTTTCTGAAGCTGGTATGACACATTTTGAAGGCATGGCATAGCTAGGCGCTTTCTTGGGAGCTTTGAATTTTCTTGGCAGATTAGCAATTAGGGGTCTCCCCTTGGACGGGAATAGGCATTAAGAAATAGCTGGCGCTAGATGATTAGCGCCAACAGCTACCTGAAGTCTGCTAGTGGAGCTGGTCTGGCAAACAGATCAGGAAGAAGACTGAGGCTGACCAATGAAGGTTAGGGTAACCTATAGATCCTAAAAGCAGGAAAGAGACGCTGGCTAGGCTGCTAGGATTGCTTGTTGTCCCTTTATTTTGAATGCCGCGTTTGGTTTTGTTGGCCACCTCTTAATGGCTGTGACTAGGACTAACTCATCCTTGTGCACGTGGGGCTATTCGGCATTCATTCATCTCGTCACGTACTCTAGATATCTGTGACTGACGTTGATGATATATGCTCTGCCCCCCCTGCCTAGCCTCTTGTTCCTGTACCATCTTCCATACTCTTGCAAAGGCAACAGCCACAAATACCTACTACATAGCTGTATAGGTCTTTTGGATATTGCTTGCATGGTCCTGGATCCTGACTTCTTGGACTTCTTGGGCCACAGGAAACGGTACATCTCTAGCCTAGCGGCCAGCCATCGATCCTTTCTCATGTATACGCCGTCCTAGTCAGCGGAGTAGCGGGGCCATGTCTGAGTGGTGAAGCTGTAAGGAAGTACACGAGGTCGTATCAGCGCCGTCCTTGTGGTCTTCGAATCGATGGAAAAAGGGACAATGAGGCACCGCCAGGTTCGGTGCGGAAGGACATGTCAACTAGGCGAGAGAGCTCTAGTGATGCCTCACGAGGGAAGCAGTTCTGCTTTGAAGGCCGGCCAGTATACTTCACGAGACCAACAGGCGAGGACCTGGAGGGAAGCGACAATCTGGTATACACCGTAGTGGTCTGCGGTGCTACCGATATAAACGTCGCTTAGTAGGATCACCTGCGAGTGGCATCGCAGAGCCGCTACAAAATGCCAGTGATGGCCCTGAACGATGATGCCTGGGAGGAATTGGATTGCCGACGTCGGCTTCCACCCGAGATCGTCAAGGTTCCTCCACTGCGCCGAAAGCCACGTGCCGAGCTGCAGGGTGGCCTTATCCCACTCCTCTCGGGAACGCTTAGTCTCGATCGAGAGTGCTATTGGGCTCCGGTCCAGCTCCCCCAGGTCGGTGTGGTTGATGGACCTGCCGGCACGGCGGTCGCGGATGACGTCCACGGGCCTGCTGTAGTCTGGGGTATCGCAATCGGGTCGGAGGATGAAGCAGTAGTCAATCATCTTGGAAGGGGCCGACAAGGGCTTGAACCTTTTGAGAATCTGAGACGAGGGGCTGGGAACCATGGCTTGATCAGCGGCGCGTTCAATCCGGACGAAAGGGAAGCAGCAGCAAAGTACCAGGTGAGAGGAACAAGGAGGTAGCAGGAGGGGCCTCACCAGTAGGCATAGTCCAGCAGATCTTCGGCATCGTCGGCTCGGAAGAGCCAGGAAAGTATCCGATCATGAACCTTGTTGTTCCAGGCAGCCTCTGCCTCGAGGAGTGCCTCGCACTTGGCAGCCTCCTTGACCGTCTTGTTGACCCAGGCAAGGGACGGAATACGCCAGTCACCAGCGCCTGTGGCCGAGGGTACATTCGGAGCGGTGTCGCTGCGAAAAGCGTACGGGGGGATTGAGGATCGTTCGTTGGGGAAGACAAGATGATGGAGCTACGATGAAGCCAAGAGCAGCCGCAGTTAGTTACGGTCCGTCCGTTGTGTTGCTTGAAGTGGGAGAGTATAGGGGGGTTTGTGTGATGTGGTGCCCGCATACCTCAGAGCGATATCGGGCTGGTAACAGGTCAATGCCGAATCTGATCTTGTCCAAGTCCTGCTTCAACCCCGAGAGCGAGGCCGGCAAGGGGATAGACGTGTCGAGGAAGCTCTTGACCACAAAGCCGGTTTGGTCTAGCGCAGCACCCTTGAGTTGCTTTGTGGGAGACTGATTACCGGACTTGTTGGTGCTACCAGACTGCACAGAAGCCGAGGACAAGCTTGCGCGCGAAGTCAGTTTTGCCCTCGGTGTGACCATGTCCGAGTCGTAAGACGCCTCTTCGAGACCACCCAGCAAGTCATCTCCGCCGAAGACGTTGTCGTCACTGTTGTCACCGTCCCGATGTGGGCGCTTCCTCGCACGTGTAGGAGTGTTTCGTACCTCCATCAAGGAGGCCGGCGGGCGCGGGTTGGACTTGGAGCAGCGACCCGAAGAGATGGATGGAGACGGGAGGAACTGGGGAGGCTGCTGGCCGAGCACAGAGCAGTCGTTGCGGCAGGAGTTTCGGCAGGAGTTTCGACAGGGACCGGTTCGCCGGCGCTTGCGGGAGTAGTCGCGCGGCGAAGAAGAAGACGACGACGACGACGATGATGATGAAGCCGAGACGTGACCGTCGGCGGCGGCGACGATGTTGTCGGTCGAATCGGGGCGTAGGGGTTCAATCGATGTGAGCCAGTCGAGGATTGACAGTCGATAGTCGCTGGCGGCCATCCTATCATGGCAGAAGGGGCGACGGTATTGGGATCGGGACAAGAAGTTTCGATATGTTGGAGAAGACGGACGGATTTCCCATGGCCGCAGTGGTTTGCCACAATCTCGTTGCCCGGTAACGCGAGGATGCTGTAAGCACAAGCCACACTGCGCCACACTACGCCACGGAAAGGAGCCCCTGCAACGCCCCACGGCCACACAGCACAGACCAAGAGGCCAAGCACTTACGTAATCTAGATATGCAAAGAAGAATAGGTAGCAATGCGAGGCATCGCAGATGCCCAGATTTTCTCCAATAGGCCTCTATACTACAACCACTGTACTGGTTGTCACGTTGTCGTATCTTTTTAAAAGAAGACTAGATTCTAAGGAGAAAATACCAGGACCTAACACACTAACACACATTATGGGAGCTGTAAGACAATGGAATATGAACCACAAGGCTTAAAAGTGAAGACGGAGACAACATGGGCTGAGAGATGTAATAGATACTTACATACTTTGCCAGGGCCTTCTATTATCCCGGTATCTCCAGGTTTGCTAGAGCTTTTGTCCAGTAACAGCTTGTGTGCACATCGGTTTTATAATAACTCACGCCATCTAACTTGCCATGACAACAGAGGACGCAATGGTTGACACTACCCGCGAGGCAGAAGTGCACACGTCTAAAGTGTTGCGTGGAACTTTTTGAGGTGGGAAAATTCATGAGAAAACGGCTTGAATTACCTACGTGTGAGTTCGCCTCGCCCGCCGCAGAAACCCTTAGACAATACTAACAAGGAGGAATCGTACGACAAGACTAGTAACAATAGAAAGCTTCTTGATTGTTGAATATATATGGGCTGGATAATGAGGGTGTTAGGGCTGTAAGTATTGGCCTATCTTGGTTTGTTGCTGTCGGGGCTCGGTATCAGGGCAGGTATTGCAGTAGTGACGCTTGGCCCAGACTGGCGTAGAACGTGTAGGATGCCCTCAGTACTGCAGGGTAACTCCTTGACATAATAGATCAACTATAGACTGCCGTTGACTCACCGGTACTGATCACACGACCCGATGGTGCCGAGGTTGTTAAACGACAGAATATTGTTAACACATGCAAGCCACTGACTGACATCTACGAGGACCTGCCTCGGGACTAGAGTTATTGCGAGCGGAAATGGAGAGCGAGTTCGACGACGATGATGTCAAAGTACAATACGAAATGTAACAAGATGCCCCAACCAACCAAAAAAACAAACAAAGGCTGCCACAAACACACACACCATCACTTGCTTCCTTGGGCGACACCACCCGACCGACCGACCGACCGACGAGAAATCCACGCACTTGCAACACCAAAGTGCACACCAGTGACAGTTACAACAAAGCCGCGAAAAGGAACTGTCGCACTCGCCATGGACGGATCTGCTGCCGTCCCCTTTGACACCATCACAAGGAAGGTCCTGGCCGCTCTGGTGACCATCCTCCAACATGATATTCTGCTTGACGAACAGACGCTGAAGACGCTCGGTATCTACACAAACGGGACGGACAGCTACCCTGGCGCATCCCGTCTCCGACACAGACTGACGCTTCTCCTGGCCAAAAACGCCTCCGATGGCGGCGAGGCTGTTGGGTGCATCGCTGCCGACAACTCCTACGAACCTCTCCCTAAGGATGTCTACGGCCGGGGCGAGCTGCTCTGCCACCTTGCCCTCACCGCTCGCGAGCTGAGCAAGAACCCTGCCAATACCCATGTCGCCGTAAATTGAGCAATCCCCTTCCATCTTCTTGTTGCCTGATCTTCAACTGACCCTATCCTGGTCACAATCTACCGTCATCATGTTCACAAGCGGCACGGCTTGAGTCTCTCAAATGTACATCAACAGCCAAGACCCCGGTTACCCCACGATCCACCTCGTTACGCGCTTCGAGCTGCGCTTGGACGAGATATCTTCTGACCATGATGGCTATAAAAAATGGCTGCAGGTTGTTTCTGGGGTCTGCTTTCGCCTGACGCAACCTAGTCTACAAACCAAACCGCAATACCAGCAGCAACTGCAACCTCATGGTCACCAAACACAAGGATTTAAGACAATTTCCGAGGAGCTGGGCTCCGTCTTCAGCGAATGCTCCCGCAATACCCAAGCCACACACTTTGCTTCTCCTCCTTCCCTCCAGGCTTGCTCCACAGGCAGTCATGACAGCTGAATGGGTATTGGGATGCGTGCTTGCTTGCTCGTCGACGTTGCGTTTGGTTTTACGATTAGGGAATGCTTTGCCTAGGGCGTTGTACTTTTACGTGTTAGGACCCGACCTGGCCCGATGATACCAGTGTTGATAACGACTTGGCGTTTGGGAGTAATGTGTTTGTTGGGCGTAGATAACTAAAGCGCACAGGAGTGAGCCACTGGGCGAACATGTGTGAGCAGATGGCAAACACACACGTCTTTTTTCCTCGTCATCAAACTAAGCATGTCTCGTTCATTCCCTGGCCACTCGTATTTCGGTGGGGCGTAAAGACCAAAATGGTCTTTACGCATGACGTCTGCTGGAAAGACCACACAGGTGTGGCATTCAAAGAGGTGGAAGTTTTGTGGCAGGTGTTCTGTGGCGGCTTTTGTATGGCGGCTTTTCAGTGGCAGCTTCTCTGTGTGTGGCGCTGATCTATCTGCTACGATGCGACAACCCAGGCAATAAGTAATATTTCGCTGACGGTATGCCCGAGCAGAGCGCACATTTCATGGCTACGCATGCCCCAGTCGATTCGGGAAATTTGTATAAAAGTAGCAGTAAGAATTTCTTGATCCTATTCCTGACGTGGTCCCCTATAATGATGCATGCACCTGCAAAAGACCGCTCTGCTGGTTGATGCTGAGCATCATAGTTGCTTTTCCCTTTGGACCGATTGACTTCCACTCTGTATTATTCGCTGATATCAGCCGGGCGGGTCCTGAAAGCGCCATCTCTGTCTGACTGGAACCGTGCAAGAAATTCATGTAACGAGCTTGATCCCCATCCGGTTCTGCGACGCGCTGAGATCCTGCAGTGTACCTGCGGCGTTTGCAATGGGCCTGCGTCCGTGTCCGGTAGCGGACCTGGATACGGAGGGGGGATTACCTTCTGGCGGCGGGAGGGGCGGGTGAGGTGGCTTGAAATCCGTGAATATCTCCGTGGTGCAGAGCGTCATTATATGCACTCGCCAGTTGCTTGTCCTTGGCGACGTTGCGCGCAATTGCCGCCGTTTCGGTCGTCCTTGAAAAAGGTACGTTGATCGCAACAGATCCGGAATACCACCGACCAGGCGTCTGCGTATTCAATTTTTTGGTTAAGCGGCAACCCTTTCTTGATTTTGCGATAGTCGCTGTGGTTGGTGGGGTTGAGCGTGGACGCTGACACCTGCTCTCTCAGCTTTGTGATGATCGCTGTTTGGAAGTTTTGGAATCGCAAACGAGCACCCAGATTTGGGCAGAGAATGCCATTGCCATCTATCAATTGGGTTATCTATCCCACTTCCTTCCTATCAAAAGTCTGTTGGGCGGGGGCGAGGGGATCCTCACCTAGTGTAGAAAAGCTGTCACAGAAGCTATGCCCCGCGTGGTGTAGGTACATACACTAGAAAGCTGCTAGGATTATAGCAGAAAATTCGCCCAACCTGGAAAATGTACGGATAACCACACCTAGAAAATTGTGCCCCACCTGCCACGTGGGCGCGCCCCCCCCACCCAAATTAACTAATGTTATTAATGCTAACAGCAGTCTGCTAGCAGTATTGTACATACAATAGATGAACTGGCGCTGGAGAATTTTAGTTGGTCTGCGAAAGGTGATGGAGCAGCTCGTTTGACCACAGCAAGAACGATACGTAACATGCCTTGACTCAGCTGAATAAGCGACAAATGACGTCATTCTCGGGACCATAAGAACTTCCAGTTGTGTGTACGGATACTCCGTGGTATATCCGTCTGTGATAACGAACACCCCGACAGCTTCTACTTGGGGGGACCCTTGGCCAGTTCTCCCCGATTCTCTTCCAAAGTAATACACTACACACACGCCCACGCCTCACCCGCCTCGTTCGCGCATGCGTTTCCCTTTTCTTCAAAGTAATGCTAGTTGACAGCATCGTGGATGCAATCAATAACGCGTCTTTGGAAGATCTCTCTACGAACGCAACTGTTCACCTTGTTTCCTTATGGGATCGTTTGGTACAGTATTACCTTACTGACTATACCTCTTTCCGCGGAGCCTAATCCTGCCCAAGGACCGATGAGGTTGAGCTCCATCTCGCCAGTTTGGCCCTCAGAAAAGTCAGCCCTGGTGTTCTTGCTGCTGCCTACAAGCTTCGATACGACCGTGAACTCTGAGACACTGGCCAGTCCTCCGACGTCAAAAAACCCAGCCATTACGTTGCCAAAGCCTTTAGTATAACGCCTCCCGTTCTCTACTTTGTCCTTTGGGACGGCGTCGTAAGCCGCGTTTTGCTTGACGCCCTGAGCCGTCTCTTCACGCGCTGCTAACCACCACCCACATTGATTGAGCTTGCTATGCGCCTTTACATCGCCTGCCAAGCATCTTCCGATACCAAAGTCTCCATCCGTCGTGATACTATACGTCAGTGGGGGTAAGTCAACGCCGTTTGCTTGCGCCCTTCGCTCTGCCCTACCCCTCTGCTTCACTTTGTTACGTACTTACTGACGGCCTCTGCGCCCTCCATCCAGTGAAGACATCTGGTCATCGAAACGAACCCGAGCCTCGGCCGCTGCAGAGTCGATACGCGACCATCCCGTCCCTCCTCTGCCAACTCCCGCCATGGCTACAACTACTCCCACCACCCCCGTCCCCGAGACGCCAAATGTCCCCCGTTGTCGTACTCCTCCTTCTAGCTCTCCCAACCCTTCCATCTCGCCATTATTTGACGCTTCATACTAGGAGAACAAAAAAGACGACAACGAAACCCCCCTTGGTCTTTCAGTTACTTCCGAATCAACACTACAACCCGTGGCTCAAGCCAATCCCATGAATATGCCTTTGGCTCCGGTCCCGCTGACCAAACGGCGTCACTTGACGGCATTCCCCGGAGAATAAACGTCAGCCTCTGTCACCCTACCAGAAAAGCATGCCGACCGACCAAACAAAAGAAATCGTCAAACAACAGCAGCCAACCGGGCAACTCACCATGGGAGCTCTCTTGTTCAGGTTGTGAATAGTCTGGGCACACTAGACAGTGAGCGATGGCTGAATGAAGTCGTCGTTAACGCCTTGGTTAGCCGCCTGCGCTTAGTCACAGTAGCTTGTATATCCAGTGTTGTTTAAGTCGTACAGTAAGACTGACAGGATGTGGCAAAATATTCTAACCTCACTAGGCGACTGTGACATGGTGATGATCCCGGCATGCGATCGTCAGCGGAAGTATTAGGTGCTCTTCTGCTGGGGTCGTCAGGATTGTTGCCTCGAAGCTTATGATCCTCTCGGAGAGGTGACTGAGGGTTTGGGCCGTCTAGTGCAATGAGTTGTCTTGTTCCTTGGCTGGCTCCTGCAAAGGCTGCAGATGCCTTTCAAAGAGGTGGTGAGAGTGCGGTGCCTGAGGCAACCCAGCACGTGGGACTGTGGTGTCTACGTCGTCGAGTTTGCTATTATGCTTGCTAAGGGGGCTGAGCTGCTGGCTGTTGTTGATGGTAGAGATTTATGTTGAAGAATGAAGCAGTAGCTGGTCACAAAGTCGTGTGTTATCTAGAAGCTATTAGAACTACGCATTATAGCAAGCGAAACCTTGTTGCGAATTGCAGGCATCAGGATGATCTGCTGTTCCAGCGCAGCGACCGGGATCTTGGGGGCACCACCCGAGCATTTGATCAAGCGTAAGGTTCTCTCCCTGGGGATCCAGCAATGCGAAGACTCAATTGTGACAATACTTGAAGGCCACCTGCAGTGGGTGAGGTGTGTCTTGGAGCTACACGAGGCCACTTTTGCGAATAAGAGCATCCTTAAGACACTATTGGAATACGTTGTGATCTGCTATAAAAACCCTAATATTGTAGAATTGATTCCTTTCTATAATACACTGGTGTGCATAGACATGGCTTCTAATCTTGTGGTTTCTGGCTGTGGCTGGTCCTTTATCTGTGAACAAGAAGCCTACGTTGACTAGCTGTGGGGCACGAATGCTATCTGGATCTTGATGCTGCATCGCATCTCACAGCGGAAGTTGGAACTGTTGGACGCAAGAAACAAGTTGGCGGCTTAATTGAAGGGGAATTAGCTGAGCGAGCAGGTTACTAGCTGAAGATTGTAGGAAATAAACATAGGCTTGTTGCAGTGTTTAGTGTGTTGTGGAATATCAACCAGTAGCACACAGGCTTGGGGATTGCTATAAAATGAGTTTTGAGAATGATTCACGGGTATTTACGAGCAATCTTTGGATTGCACATGCTTTGGGTGCTCTCGGCGTCGGCGTTCCGTTCCCAGCCAGCACGTGGACATGGTGTGGCCGGTTGAAGGACCATTGTGTCATAGTCCGAGTGAATCCCCTACTGAAGACGCCATGCGACGTGATTCTCTGCTCATCTTATGGTCATGCTGTCTGTCTGTCTGTCGTTCAGGTGGTTCTGTGGGGCTACCGCGCATCGCCATCTAACAATGGCAGATACGGCATTCATCAAGGCAGTGGGCATTCCACCTTTCAGTAAGGCGATCCACGACATCCTCTTTTTTTTTTTTTTTTTTTTTTTCTTCTTCTTTTCTCCTGACGCAAAATGTATGGATACGGCTATCCTCCAAAGAATGAAGAGGCTTCGCCAGTCTATGCCCCCAGAACATCCGAAGCTCATAGGCTTAGAGCCAACAACAGATACATACGTCTTACGCCTACGCAGATAAGCGCCTTGGCAAGCTCTGATGCTGCTTCGACGTTGGCTGTAGAGGACAAGGCAGCATAGTGCAGTACTCGATGACCTGGTCAGTTCACGTCCGCTGAGGGCGCAGGCGGCCATCTTATAGAGGAGGCTTGTGCGGCCGTTGGCAGCCATCATATGGAGGGCGGTGACGCCGTGGGAATAGACGAGGGGGAGATCACAAACGGCACCTTGGTCGATAAGAAGAAGGATAACATCTTCACTTGAGCCATGGGCAATAGCAGAGTGTAGGGGTGTTACCAAAGGCATCTCATATACCACTGACTAGTTTTCGTAATCGGGATACGTCAGCATGTCAATATAGCGAGAAGGACATAGACAGCTTCTAAAGGCCATGGCATCAACGAGAACATGATGGAGGAGTAGTTGGCGAACGGTGCGAATGTCGTCCGCTGCAGCTGCGGTCTTGTGTTTAGCATGCATTACCACCTAATGTCAAGTACCCTAAGCGTAGCCCCTACTACAGGGGAACTAATTACATAGGCCGGGAAGTCCCTGAAATTTACCATCACACCGCCACAACTTTATTATCTCCCCTCCACGCGCTAGTGCAGACTGATCCCTTGCCTGACAACACCTTGTTCTGTCAGTGTGGGCAATGGATGCGCAACGATTAATGGTAGCAGATAGCCACATGGCAACAGCATTTCTCGATTCCTGCGATGTTGCCCGGGATCCAGTTGAAGCACGTCAACTGGTCACGTCACTGGGGGCTTACACGTCCAAGTTCCAGCTTTGTCCGTCCATCCTGCCTGTCCGGCGCAGCTTGCCTCTTCTCACGATGCCTTTGACGGCGTGAACTATCTGTGTTGATCTAAATCAACCTTTTTGCTTTAGCTTGATACTGCTCCTGTGTTCCGCACTCCTTTGGGTATAAAACCAGGCAACGGAACCAAGACAAGGTCGGTATCTGCCTGACACCGCTGACACCTTCCGGACATGTTCCACTGACCCCTTTCGTCAGCAGTCCCTGCTTGTCCTTCAGTTTTACTTCAATGTAAGTCGAGGGACACTGAAATCTATCTAAGTCCCTACTAATCTATGCTCCGATTCTCCGTCTCCCCAAACCTCTGCCCTCCAAACCGCATTTGACATCTATCATGGCCGTGTCCCAAGGCACTTGTCTTCTGCTTGCTCTTTATTATTTTCTATTTACTAACACTGCTACCAGTAACAGGTATTTTGGCACCTAAATCAATTCTCTCAACAACTCCTCCTTTCCTAACCCATCACAGGTCAAGAACCGATGTCTCCCCTGTGAAACAGTCAACAGCTCGATGCTATGTCCTCGACAATTCGATCCAATACTTTCGACACTCCCCTCCACTCCTCCCTGTGTACGAGATCGGGTCAAGACTAGATAACCCCATCGAGAGCGTTTAATAATTCAATGTTATACCCTCGACATTCACTCCTTCCCCCGAGACGAGTCAGAGCCCAGACCCGATGTCTCGAAATCGAAAGAGTCCACGGCCTGTTGCTGTCCTCGACACATACCTTTCCCCTGCGCAGGAACGGGTTAAGAATCAATGTCTCCCCTTAAGAACGTCAATAACCCAAATCAATACTCTCGGCACTTCATGTTTGCTCCCTACACGGGCCCGCATCAAGGAATGCACCCTTCTAGCCATCGCTTTTAGAAAGTCTACTTTTTGTTTGCCCTCCCAACCCATGTTGCTTTCGAGCTCCTTACAAATGCAGAAAGATGAATCGATTAAGTAGTAGTCCTCTCATAAGGCAGGCATTGTCCTTAATGCCCTCCTTCGTCATCATTTAGCTTTGAAATGGCTCTTGAAACCTTTGCAGCAATGAGCCAACTTTCAGTCAATCTTCAGATACCTCCCCTTCCCACCTACAATCACCCATTTGCTCATCAAGGACCCATGATGATAGTTGTCTTGCATACTTACACACTCATTTACAATCATCATCTCTTTGAAGGGGACAGCTAGTTCATTTACAGCCCAGCGTATTACACAAAAGTTGCTTGGCCATTGGACTCAGTTCACGTTGCTGGACAGCAGACCTGTTAAAGACTGCTTGATCTATGTTGCCAAGATTGACCAACTCTCATGCCGACCCAGCGCAGGGCCCCTGTGGCTATGACAGTGGACAGCAACCTTAGGACACCTTACGTCTCTGTCTAGCATGCACAGACGATTGTCAGCGTTTTTACTACAATTCGCCTACTCCAAAGCAGTGTGGCACTGTTTCTATGGAATCTAATATCCCCGTTCTGTGTCTGCAGTCCCAAACACAGTAAGATCGCTATAACTTACTTCACCATCTTAACCCCCGCCTCCGTCAGCTCCCCTCATTCCATTGTGTGTCCAGTGGAGTAGCAAAAGTCCCGATTATCCAGACAGAACCATCAAGCCACTGAACAACAGGGAAAGTTCTGTCACCAACTTTTTTATTTCTCTCCCGGGGCCAAACTCGTCATCAATCTTGTCGCTTTTCTACAATCTGTCTGTCACCAACACCTGTCGGTATCTTTCCATGAACGCTTTATCTGCACAAGGCAGTCCTCAATTCTTACGGTCGCAACGTCTTGACTATCCCGCCCACCAGCCCTCCGCATCGCGGCCCCTTGACCCCAAGGTGCCACTCTAAGATGACTGGCGAGACTTCCGAGAAACCAGAAACACGGTACCAACGCGAAGAATGGCAAAGCAGCAGCAGTGCTCTCCACTATGTCACCGGTCGGCTCTCGGTGGCTAGCAAACTGGCGACGCTTGAGCAGTTTTCACCGATGCCGTTGCCGACTTGCACGACGTCTCTCACACCCCTGCATTTCCCTGGTCAAAGCTGCAGACTCATGCGTCAACCCCACCACCAGCCCCTAGCTGCAGTCAACACTTATTAGTTAGGACTCTATCTCAAAGCTATGTCGTTGCTGCAAAGGAGGCTACAAAAGGAGGCTGCTATCGCCGCCTTGATATCCGAAAACTTCGTCAAGGCGAAGTCAAGGTTCGTTTTTCTTCCCAGTCTTCTTCCAGTGCAGTTCTAAGGATGACACGTACTAACTTGTTCGCCCAACAGTAAATTCTGCACCCTCCGCTTCGAAACCCATAAAGTCCACCTCCCCTGCCCCGTACTGGTCTCTGTCGCCCATGTCGCTCAACACGCACCATCCGACGCCATCCACAAGGCATACTTGGATGCCTCCAAGATCCAATCGGCCCGGGAAAAGTATCTGGAGTTGGTCTGCTGGGGCAACACACGCTATCTATACCACTCGTTTAGCCCGCTTGATCCCCAAGCCAGGCACGGACGATCCTTACATATTCGCTGTGTTGATTGCGCTGGCACAGCACCGGCAGCTAAGCGAGTCCGCGGCCGCGACTACATCTAGCCTCAAGGTACGCGACCCTTAGGCAAATGCCGTCAGGTTGCGATTGCCTGCCGTATGCTCGTTGCGAAGCAACCCGCGATAACAGGTCTCACAGGTCCATGTCCTCCTCAGTGGTGTCCAGAATAAGTCTATCTGCTGGTCTACACTGCTAATATTCCCAAAACTTTACTTGACAAACTCTCCTGTCCTCAAGATCGGCCCTCGCCAACCGCAACCTTTTAGATTTCTACAGTTTCCATCGCCTACGAACCACATACAGCGTTTCGGCAGCGTCTGTCAGAGGTTATGCCCCCACCAAAGCCCAAACGGACGCATGCAGAGGAGGATGGGAACGAGGACCGTCCTCGAAAGCGTAGGGGGTGATTCTGGTGTGTTATTCCATGTCGTCTGCTGTTTGCCAGGGACTTTCGCAATGATCGTCGTCATGCTGTGTGGAAACTCGATCAGTATTTTTTGTTTCTTTCCATGCGAGAACGTTTAGTGTTTTGGCTGTTGCGTTGTTGATTTTATGATACCCCGTGGCGCGATGCCACATTGTTTTGCTTTCATGTTGATTATATACGATTATATCTGCGGCTGTTTGGCGCCGTCCTCTGGCATCGAACACTACTCTAACACTCGCACATCATTATGCCGTCTGCGTGATTTCTGAATAGTCCTTGGTGCTCTTTCTTCATCTTCAGCCCCAATCTTGGAGGTCCACGTCGCGCTCTGGACTTGACGGCTTTCAGCTGATTTTGCCGTCACTATCCCTGTAAGCTCTTAGCCTACACTACGCTGTTTGTAACATAACCGCCCAAGGAGAGACAAACATGAGTGCTACTGCACCACATCCTAACGTATTAAATGTATAAGTGTTCCTGTCATATGTTAGGAATAGTGGAAACCGTAAAAGAATCAGAAATTACATTGCTCCTTGAATACGACCCATCGGAAGTGCAAGCTCTAAGATAAAGTAAGAAATCCTGTCAAGTAAGGAGGACACAACCGCTTTCACAAGTCGGCTTGTCACCCACCACATACTGACCTTTAACAGCTTAAGGATACAAAGACTTAGCATCCAAGTCACAAAGAGCAACGCCGGTATACACCAAGCGCTGAGGTGTCAAGCCTGTCAAGGGAGCAAATCACATGTTCAACAGGAACCGTTGCAGATGTTTAGGCTTCAGGCAAATATAATATGTCGATGGCATTGCCATTACCTTTGCTTAGCATAATTTTAGGCCGTCGGAAAGATGGCAAGCTCAGGGCGTCAGACCGGCGCTACTCACCAAGGGCTGCCGGGGACAGTCGAACGTGGACATTATTTGAAGCTTAAGCATCCCTTCGACTGGTATTAAACTGTTGGAGGTGTCGGATATGATGGTGAACTAGAGATGACATTAAAGTCATCATGTGGGCGTTGAAAACATCAAAGTCGTCTGTCTACACGAGGGGAAGCAACACAAAAGTCGCTCTAGAACTAGAGCAGGATAGGAGTGCCATACTACGACCTAGTAGGAGAAGGAAGCCAGGAGACACAGGGCTCTAAGAGAGAGGTAATGCATAGTATTTGTCAACGCACCCCAACACAAGCGCACGCATCCCATGAACCACGAGGAGTTCATGGACGAACCGCTCCATGGTGGGCTGCGTGCCTGCATGAACCTGTGCTCGTACAAGCGCAGGCATCCGCTAAACATCTAAGTCATAGAAAAACCACATCATGGGGTACTGTCCACCTATGCTCGTCTCGGACCCCGTCTAATCCACCTGCACCATGTCCATCCAACCACACATAGAGCTCCGTCCACTACAAGCACCTCACCGCCGGTAGTCTCAGGCTCGCAGGGTGGTTAAGCCTCTAGGGCAATTCGGCATAGCAAGGGAACACGCTTGCAACTGTGCACACTTATCACCAGTGCTGCCACTTCATTGGGTGGCTGCCGATAAATACCACCGTTTTGTATCAAGGCATATGATCCGAAACTTACAGGGCCGCCAGCTACCGACACCAACATGCCCAACCTACCACTTGTCTGAGGGAGGTAGAGTTAACCTAGCTTGAATGTGTCTAGCCTTATCTCCCTGGCCCACATCTAATATCTTTATCTTCCACTGCTTCGTATTTAATAGCTTTATCTTATCTTGCTTTTCATTATCTCCACTAGGTTTAACATTAATAGCTTAGTATTTGCTTAAGTAATACTTTCTGCTAGGTCATAAGATTGCTTCTAGGGGCTTTTTAACCTGTGTTACTTTCTTATCTAGGTCCTAGGAAGTCTTCTTATTAACTATAGTCACTTTTTGTCACAGGTTAGGGCACATAGCATGGCATATAGGGGTTTAAGTAAAGGATGCTTGATTCTATGAATAGAAAGGTATGAAAGATATGCCCTTTTAGAATGGCAATGTTGCAAGTAATGAGTGATATCTTAGTAATCGTGATATCTTTAGACCTCCGCCAACACCCATGCAGCATTGTGCTCTTCCTATAGATCAATAGGTCGATAAAAGCAACGCCCAAGTTGAAGTCCAACCTATAAAATAGGGGGCGCCACGCCTCTTCTCTCAGAATACTGTTCAGGCCCCCTTAAGTAATCCCAAGCAATGTCAATCAGTTGTTAGTTCCACTCCTCAGAGCTCTCCAGTGTCACGTCGAGCTTCTGTTCTATAGCGACTCGAATATAATTCACTTCGACGTTCCAGACCTCATCCACTTTATAGATGTTCTATACAGAAACACCCATGTGTCAGCAAAAAATGTTCAGTGCGGACCAGGAAGCTGGGGAACAACCAGCCTTAGGAACAAGACAAACTGTCTTCATCGCTTTTATAAGCTCCTCATAGTTCTCATAGTTCTGTTTTACTATACGCATTGTGTCACAGATGACGCAGAGCCTGGATACAGAGGCTGTTGCTGTCTCTTACTTAGCTGTCTCCGCTTCTTGCCTCTCATCATTCTCAGCCTCGTTAGCCATTGGCAGTTCTCTGTCAATAAGGAGAGATTCATATTAGTCCCTGTGTAAAAGATTACGTTGTTTTGCTAGCTTCGTAGACAAGAGGCACAGGTCAGAAGTAAGACAATTAATATATAAGGTTACTAACTAGTTCTAGGTCTTGTTGTCTTAGATAAGTAAGGTAAGGGAAGCCTGGTGAGTCTGCAGCAGCTCTAGAAGTGCAGTGACCCTGTCCAAGATAATACCGCGCTAGATCTCGCTGTGGCTTTCCTGCTCCTTGCCTGAATTATTCTACTAAGCCCCGAGCTTCTGTATGCCTCGACGCTCGCCCCTCAGCCTGAGCTCCTTAGCAGTAGCAATGTCTATAGATAGGGACGAGTTGAATGTCTAGAACCTGGCAAGCCGCTCTTGCGTCTTGCAGACGATGCCTTCGACCTGGCGGTTGTAGCCTTGTAACCTCTTGAGCTGTTCCTGCGCGCTGTTGATTGCGCGTGTACCGGCAACAATCATTTCCTTAACTAAGAGAACTAAAATAAATAAATCTTTGCTAGTGCTGATCAGGACGCGAAAGTCGTGCTTAATAGCTACCAGGATCGCGTTGACGAGGCCTAGACTCACCCAAGTGCAGAGGCCTATTCCTCCAATACTATATAGTATATATATGGCTCTAGCTGAAGCATTAGTTACCGCTACAGCCTCGATTCTAAGTTCTAATGCGACGTTGCTCAGCGGTATTTCTGTAACCTTCCTGGACTACAACGCAATAATAGACAGCGCAGGACTAAGCAAGCGAGACAAAAAAGACTTTCGAGCTAGCAGGTAGGGGTATAAATACAGAAATACATAGGCGCACTAGCCCGTTAGATACACACCGTCCCAGCGTGTCTATGGTCTTTGCGTTCGTGGGTTTCGCAGCGGGCGACTGAACACTTGTTAGGCAAGCCCTCTTGCCCAGAACCGCCAATAATCAATAAAATACTAGTTCTCTCGTTTCCCCTAACACTCACTCCTTTCAAGTTATTCTTTATACTGTCGTAAAGTAGGTTAAATAACACAACTCACTTGGATTGAGATACCTAAAGAGTAACAAAATGTCGTCATTAATCTAAAAGAGAAATATAATACTCTTAGGATAGGGCACTATAGACAAGGCCCTATAAACATAGGGACTTCCTAGTAAGGCTTTTACGTCGCCCTAAATATAATAACCAAGCTATTTATTATATAGCTGTCTTATCATAAGTAATAGCTTTAGCTCTCTAGCCAAGCTCATAAACCTATAAGCCAAGGTCTAAGCGTAAGCTAGACAAGAAGAGACAAAAGAAGAGGAAAGACGAGTTCTATAGCTTCCACTTCAGGGCAGATGTCAGTCTAGCCCAGGTCATTTAACATAAGAGGAAGTTTATAGCCCACTGTGCGGTTCCATCAATCCATCGTCCCAATACCTCCATCTAAACATGCCATTCTGGAACTGTAGCAAACTCATGCCATACCCTCATGTAGCAAGCAGTGCCATTCGATGGTTCGTTCTCTTTCAGCTTTATAGAATCCAATGGCTCTAGCTCTCATTACATGTACGGCCAGTATCTTGGCTTAGAGCTGTCACATGGTTTCAACCCTCCCTACATGTGCGACTGAGACGACAACAAACAAGACCATCAGAGGAGAGAGGGGAGACGTGACGCAAGCAGCCAGTCAAAGCTGGCTTGGATCGCCGCCGCCGGATTACGAAATTGAGTCCAGGTCGCAGCAGCGTTTGCCATAATGGTCATCTTTGTTGTCTAGATTATCTTTAGTCTAGCAAGGGGTCTTGGTCGTAAGGTTGTCCCTACGCCTAACATTAAGCATCCTTTTAGACATGGTGTATTGCTAGCCCCCCTATTCTTCTTCTACGAGGTTTGTAGGTGCCTTAGTGCTCTTGTTCAACAGACTGACTGGCTGACGCGTCTCAGCGTCTGTGTATATCAGAACAAGCAACATACAAGCAGACCTACACAACAGAATTCCTCCTCTCGGACTTTATATCTCCTGTAGCCGCCAGGTAGAAGAAGCCCTTGCCTATAGACTTCTTTGAAATTTTCGGCATTAACGCAACGTCGACGCCCATCTGGCCCACGGCCTCCAGCTCCGTCCGCGGTAGCAAGACTGAACAAGATATGCGCCAAGTCGTCCATCAAGCATAGGCTGCCGTGACTAAGCCGGTCTACCAGCGTCCAGGGGAGTAGTGCCGTGCTCCCATCAGGTGTCATACGAGAGAGAAAGAGGGCGGCAAGCAGGATCGGGCGTAAAGGTCGCTACTAAGCCTCATCACCAACCTGCTCCTGGATGTCAACAAGCGCAAGGTTTACAAGGATGTATTCGTTAACAAACGTCACTGGCAAGGAGATCAGCTAGCCCAGAGATGTGAGTAACTATGGAGACGTCCCATGTGATGGGTGGTGGCCCTAGGACGCATGAAATCCATCATAGTTCACGTCTGTCTGTGTTTACTCCTCGTCTACCTAGTGTGTGACTGACCATGGGACTAAGATTAGTTACCATTGTCTTAATCACTAGCTATATAGTCTTTTGACTGTCTGTAAACAAAAATATGTCCACGACCCGGCTGTCTTTCTATCTGTGCTCTCCCGCCACTTGTCAATTTCTTCCGTTCCTTCCTCCTGCATCTTTCTCGCGCGCTCCACTTTACACCACCTTCCCTCCTACATACTTTTCTTGGCACGCACTGTTAGTGCGTGCGCGTGCACTACACCAAAATCGTTAACAACCCCTTTATTCACCTACCCCCCAAATGTTAGCCCTTAACCACCGAGGGCCGGTGACCCCAAGGCCGCCGCTGTAGCTAGGCATACGCCTGGCCTCAAGGGCAATGTCAACTGTCTCTAGAACAACAGTAGGCAAAGGTTCCCCTATAAAGCAAAAAAGGCTAGCAGTAACCTTTAGCCTAACTATAATAGTAATAACCTTAATATAGGAGGACTTTACTTATATAGTAATAAGCTTAAAACACTAGCTTAGGCTTAATATATCTATATATAGCCTAATAATAAATATAAGTTAAATATATTAACTTTACCTAGAGGAAATACTTAGTAAGATTATAGCCCTTAATAATAGCTATAGATTTATAGCTAATATACTTATTAAGAACCTATAGTAGTCCCTCTAATAGATTAAAAGTAAAGGAGATTATTAAGCTACTATTAACTACTACTTTAACCTACTATATAGTACCCTTAAAAGAAATAGAGTTACCTAGCTAGCCTAGCTACCTAGGCCTATAACTAGGAACTACCTATAGACTAAATAACCTAATATAAAACTAACTACCTAGTCTTAGCTATAAGGCTAAGTTATAGTAGTCTAAAAGAAGTCTTATAGTTAGGGATCTCCTTAAGGCTAAGGAAATATATAAGGAAAAGTATAGTAATACTATATTAACTACTATATCTTTCTTTAGATACTATACACCTAGGTCTCCTCTTTAACTATTTATAAGGATATTACTAGAATTTATAAAGTATAAATTATAAATATTAAGAAAATAACTAAGGTACTAACTAGTTTTATAATTACTATAGATAATTATAGAATAAAATAGGCTATATTTAATAGCTATACTAAGCTATTTAAATAGCTTAGTATAACTACTATTAATAGTACCTAGACCTAGATATTCTATAGGGTTAAAGGTGTCTTAGTAATAATATATAACTATAAAGGTAATATAATAGATATAATAAAGGC